CTGGGTCTTGTCGTGTGAAGGGGCCCAGCTGCCGCAGGCTTTCGTTTCCTGTGGAGACTTTCTCACAGTCCCTGAGACCCCCAGACGCCTTGGGCTGTGGGAACGGGGCGAGCTGAAGGATGGGCTGCCCCCCTCTCCCCAGCTGGAGCCGCATCCCTCCCACCCCCACCCCTCAGGGGACTCTGCAAGCAGGCTGCTGTGGTGGCTGTGTGCAGGGAGAGCTGGGGTTCTGTGAACCACACAGAACCTTGACTGGCTGTGTGCAAGTCAGAGCCAGTCCTTTCTCCTCTCTGATCCTCAGTTTTCTCATCTGTAAACTGGAGCTAATGGTAGCACCTGCTTCCCAGGAGTGCCCTGCGGACTGAGGGAGACACCAGGGAGGTCTGACCTTGGCTCAGGGCTGCAGAGGGAGACAGCCCAGTGAGGGGTCTTGCCCCTCTCACAAGCCTGGGGAAGGGGGGTTCTTCACTGGATCCAGGCCTCGATCTTTTTGCTTCCTGATGTCCATACTGGGCTGATTGGAATGTGGCCATCTTCACCCTCCACCCCCTACAGCGTCCCCCTTCTCCTCCTTCTCCAGCCAGGAGTGCCTGGGTTTCTGGGGGTGCAGAGAACTTGACATTATCTGGTTCTTGTCTGAGCAGCTGAGACACCGCATCATGCTCCAAGCTGGGTTTTCTCAGCAGTCAAACGAGGCTTCAAGTTCACGGACATGCAGCTGGCACTCACAGGTGTGCAGCTGGTGCTTCGCAAGGGCCTTCCCTTTCACTTTTCCCTCTTCTTTGGAGAGATTCAGGGCTCCTTAAACTCAGCTAGTAGCCCCGGCTGAACCCTCTCCTTCCAGGGCCACAGTTCCTTCTTAAGCCCCTGCTGGATGGCTCACTCCAGCCAGGAAGATGGACAAGGACAGAGATAAAGCAACAGGGTTTGGGCAGGGCAGGGGCTAAAGCCAGGAACCTTGGTAGCCCTGAATCCCACTGGCCCTGTGGCTGAGTGTCCTGGGGAGGCATGGGGCTTTCCACCCAGGCTATTTTGCCCCAGGCCTTTAAGCACTGAGGTCCAGGGCAGATACCTACTGCTTCCCTCCCAGGAGGAAGTAGAGCAAAGGAAGGACTTGGCTCTCAGTAAGGTCAGATGAGGGATTGCAGGCAGGGGTGAGGGGGGAGCCCCCACTGAGCCAGGAAGTCTTGCACCCCTGCAAGAGAGATCCAGTAAGCCCACTGCATGGATGAGAAAGTTGGGGCTCAGATCAGTAAGACAGGGAGCAGTAAGTGGGGGAGGGGAGCAGGTGGCAGAAGTCAGAGAAATCTCCAGTCCAGCCTGTGGAACCCAGCCCAGCCCAAGAACAAACTGGGGGACGCAGGGGCCCAGAAAGGCCTCGACAGAGGTTAAGTTCATGCCCTTCCTCCCAAGAAGGGGCCCCAGCAGGGAGAAGGGGGCCTTGGCTCCTCCCACCTCTTCTCCTCCAAGGTCACCCTGCCTTCAGGCCCAGGCCAGACACTACAGGTGAAGTTCAGAATCAAACAGGCATTAGGAAAATAAAGGATAATGGGCTCCAATTAATTAAGCTAATGTATGCAATAAGTTGTATCAGTTATTAGAACAAATTGGTTAATACAGGCAATTAAAGGGGTTGGTTATTTAAATAATTAATGCAACTGATTAATGGGATTGATTTAGCCCAATTGTCACTATTATATATTAATTATTCTTAACACTTGCATGCAAAGTGAAGCATCCTCCAAGTCCATATAAGAAGCAATAAATTAATTAATGGGTGGTGGTGAGGCTTTTCAAATGGGTGTTTTGATTTCTGGATGTGATCATGATAGTGGAAAGGAGAATGTTCCAGAAATCTGCAAGGCATTGAGATCTGAAGGTGGAGCAAGAATGTCCTGGGTGAGAGGATGTTCTGGGCAGCAGGAAGGTCATGTGCAAAGGACCTGAGGGTAGAGTGAGTGGCACAGATGGAAAGAAGACCAGAACACAGGAAAGAGTAGGGAGAGGGGGCGGGGACAGGCTGAGTCACAGACAGCTGGGGTCGCTGTGACATTGGTCTGCTTAACATAGACCCTCTGGGTGCCTGTTGGCGTCCCAGCACCATTCCTGGCTGTGGAACCAATCCCGGCCTTGGTGGAGCTGGGATTACAGGACAGACTGCATGCAGGGGGGATGTGCAGGGCAGCTCAGGGCTCCAGTGGCATCTGTGGGACTCAGAGCGTACCTGGGGGGGGGAAGATGCTGTTGGCAGAAAGAGGAGCAGATTCAGGGACCCTGGGGTGGCAGCATGTGGGGAAACCCAGGAGGAGCAGCCAAGGCTGGGAGGCAGGGACTGGGGGTACAGGACGGTGAGGCAGAGCCCAGAAGAGCTGCACCTTTGTTTTGATGCTGTGGTTCCTAGTGGGAGAGTGCAGGGAGGCCAGAGACCAAGAAGGGATGAGGGGCTGGGTGAGTGGGGGCACGGTGGGGTTTGGACAGAGACATCCACACGCTGCCCCCAGATCCCGGAACACTGGAGTGTAGCTGAGAAAGGCCCAGGGGCGGAGCACCTCCCTGGCTCTGGCCACCCAGCCCAGGCCTGCCCTGTACTACTAGCACCCCCTCCGCAAGGCTCTCCTTACCCCAGAGCCTGACGGGAAGTGGACAGGAAGCAGGAGGAAGTGTTGAGTTGATCCCAGTGTCCCGGCCAAGTTGTTCCCAACAGTAGGAGGATTTCCGGGCTTGAATGGCCGGAAACATTGGGATGGGTCATTTCACCCGGGAAAGTAGGGAGGGAACAGGGAGGGGTCCTCCACTGCACCCCAACTCCCACTGCTGCGGGACAGAGAACCCAACAGACTCTGGAAAGTTTTGCCACGTTGCAGTTTGAGGGACTTGGGTGAGAGGGCAGGAAGGACTTTCTACGAGGGTCAGAACCCTAGAGGCCAGCAGGGAAGGAGGTGAGGGGTCAGGGGGCTTTGAGACAAGTCCTCAGCCAGGAGCCCAGGCTGCGGGAGCTGAGAATCACAGCACTATTTTTATTATTATTTTAAATTGTGGTAAAAGTTTATTTGAGAGAGAGAAAGAGTGAGCCTGCTCAAGGAAGAGAGATCCTATCTGCTGGCTGAGACCTCAACCCAGCCCTCCTAGGTGGGGGCAGAAATGCACCTGCTTGCAGGGTCTACCAGTCAGGAACTGGAGCTAGATCTTGAACCCAAGTCCTCTGACATGGGGCACTGACTGTCTACCAATAGGCCAAATGTCCACCCTTTTTAAAGTTCAATCTTATTTATTGATTTGAAAGGCAGAGAGGGAAAGATAAATCTAGATGACAGAGACAGAAAGAGAGTGATCCTCATATCCTGGTTTATTCCTCAAATGACCACAATAGCCAGGACTGGCCTCGGCCAAAAACAGGAGCCCAGAGCTCTCTCTGCGTCTCCACGTGGGTGGTTTGACCCCAAGCACTTGAGCCATCCTCTGCGGCTTTCCCAATCACATTAGCAGGGAGCTGGATGGGAAGTGGAGCAGCTGGGACTTGAATGATACCCTAACATGGGAAGTGAGTGCTAGTCCTGCTTTGCTTTGTCTTCAACATGAACAAGCCCCTGTCTTCGAACAGTTGTTTCCCCAGCATGCGACCTTCCCTCTCCATTAAAAAAAAAAAATATATATATATATATATATATATATATATATTGGGCCCAGCGGCATGGCCTAGCGGCTAAAGTCCTCGCCTTGAACACACCGGGCTCCCATATGGGCGCTGGTTCTAATCCCGGCAGCTCCACTTCCCATACAGCTCCCTGCCTGTGGCCTGGGAAAGCAGTGGAGGACAGCCCAAAGCTTTGGGACCCTGCACCCATGTGGGAGACCCGGAAGAAGCTCCTGGATCCTGGCTTCAGATCGGCATAGCATCGGCCGTTGCGCTCACTTGGGGAGTGAATCATCGGACGGAAGATCTTCCTCTCTGTCTCTCCTCCTCTCTGTATATCTGACTTTCCAATAAATAAATAAATCTTTTAAAATTATTTATTTTTATGTTTTCACTCTCCGTGTTACAGAAGGGACAATGAGGCTTTCCTAGCCTAGCGGAAGTACCAGTGAGGGCTGCTTGTTCACTTCCCACGTGTTTTTTTAACCGTATTATTAAGTGCCTGCTGTGTGCTGGGTACGGTACGAGGGACTGAGGTCTCCCTGGGGAATGAACTCAGTCTCGCCACCCCACCCCAGGCGCCAGACAACTCAGTCAACAGATACAGGGTAGGAGCAACCAGGCAGGGATTTGGAAAATGGAGGAAATAAAGTAAGCCTAGGGAAACAGAGCCTGAGGGACACAAGGGACCCTTAGGGGGGTGTGGTTGAGGCAGGCTTCTCAGAGGAGGTAACTTGAATAAAGTGGGGAAGCATGGCCTAGGCCAGGGGAACAAGTGATTAGAACTTGGGGCAGGAACAAGCTGGTGGGGAGACACGTGTAGCTGGGGCAGCAGCTGGAACCGCAGGCCAGAGGACCGAGGCCTGTGAGGGCAGGTGGGAGAAGGATGAAGCTGATGGGAGCTGGGGCGGGGCAGAGAAGGCCCTGGGGAAAAGCTGATGGGGAAGCACCCACAGGTGGCCGTGGGGGAGCTGCTGGGCTTGGCTCGGTGATGAAGGGTTCAGTTCCAGCTGACCAGCAGTGGGGTGGAGCGTGTAGGGCTGGGGGCTAGGAGTGTGTACAACAGGCTTGGCACCCTGGGTACCCATCTCCTGCAGCATCTTTCCTGGCCACGCTGGAAGGCGCAGGGAACTGACTCCGCAGTCTGTCTGCTGTTGCCAGCCCTAGCACTGCAGCATCCTGGGCTGGGCTGGGAGGGGCCCTGAGGCTCTGGTGGGGGCCCCAGGCAGGGGCTGGTAGTCAGGGAGCCCAGCAGGACTAGGTGCACTCACATTTCTTTTCTCCTTCCAGGGCTGCAGGAGAGCCTGAGGTTGCCGGGGACTATGTGAAGGTAGGAGGGGCTGGGCGGGGGTGCTCAGGTGGCTGGCACCCTTTGTGGTCTAGGGGCTGGGTGGCATGTGGCATTTCAGTGTCAGCAGCTTCCTTCCTCGTGTGCCATTGCTTTGTCCTGGCCCAGGACTCAGCATTTGCCAGGACAAGGCCCCTGGGGAGAGAGGGCGTCTCCATGTAAAGGCTGTAGTGCCTCAATCCCACCTATGATGTGCTCAGGCACAAGGGCCGGGGGGCAGGGAGGGTGGACATGTGGACTCAGTTTCTCAGCCCAAAGAATGGGCAGACTTATCTAGCCACAGCTGAATTTGTGCAGGACACTGGGAATGTGGAGACCGTGGTTTTGCTAGTGAGTCAGGGATGGCTCTGGATTATACCACAAGAACCCACTAGAGGCAGAAGTCTTGGACTTCCTCCCTCCTTGCTGGTCAGAGTAAGGCCTCTTTGGGCCCATTCACAGATGGGAAAGTTGAGGTGCAGACTAGTGCAGTGACTTGCCCACAGGCACACAGCACAGGGTGGAGCTGAGCTTACAGCCCAGGCTTGATGCCCACAGGACAGACAAAGCCCTCGACTCTCTACCCACAAGGGCACCAGGAACACCAGGCCCCGAGTCCACAGGGCTCTCAGTTCACCCCAGGCCCAGGGAGGAATCATGCAAGGGTGTGGTCTTGTGTTTTGCCGTCCAATAGATCTGAGTTTTAGACCCACAGACCTGCCCCATGACCTTGGGTCCTTGGGTGTGGCCGTCACCCTCTGGAGCATCAGGCAACAGAGGGGAGGGGGTGACTGTGGGGTCTCCAAGCCAGGGTTGCCATGGGTCCAGCTGCAATCCCTGACAATTGTCCCCAGACAAAAAGTGGGGAAGGAGACGAGGATAGACAGCCGAGCTGGGGCCAGCCCAAGCCGGAGCACTAGTGGGCTCTGGAGGCTGCGACCAGTCAGGGCCAGGCCTAGAACACTCATTCCAGGGGGAGAAAGACAGGGGGAGAGCCCACAGCAGAGCTGGCAGGTGGGACACACACACACAGGGGCTTGGTAGGGGACCGCCCCCACCCCGAGTTCTTGTCAACTTTATCTCTTTGCTTCTGTATATGGGGCAAAAAGTGCAGATTTTTAGAAAACTCAGGGAAACAGCACCTGCTGCTGGCATGGACTAAACAGCAAGATGAAGTGAAAAGAAATGTTCCCACCTGCTCTAGCCTTGGAGGAAGGTGTGCCTTGGGGGCAAACTTCCAGGCCTCCCCCAGTGTCTCCTGTAGGCAGAACCAGCTGCTGGAACGCTGGAGCTCTCACATGGGGTGTGGATTCTTGGGTTCTCAAGCAGGGATTCTTAACAAGTCAGGTTCCGTGCTCAGAACTTTCCAGGGTCTTTACAGAAAACAAACCCACGACGGAGCCTCAGAGAGGTGGTCCTGGTGGGCTGGAATCACACAGCCCAACAGGAGGGCTTGCCCCTAGCCTGGCTGATGGCAGAATCAGCAGCGCTGTCTTTGTGCTGTGGAGTCTTGGATTGGGGTCAAAAAAGTGCAAATTGGGAGACAGGAAGGCTGAAAAGCAAGCATCCTCTGAGCTGTTACCCGCACCAGCCCAGCCAGTGCCTGAGACTTCTGGGAGGGCAGCTCAGGTACCAACAGCATCCGCTGCCTGGGTCAGCCCGGCTCCCTGAGAACGACTGGTGGGGTTGAAGGAGGGGCCACATCGACCCCAGGGTTCCTGCAGCCCTGCATCCCCCCAGTCTGTCTACCAGGGGCAATCCCAGCACCGTTTCTGACACCAAGTCAGAGATGAGCAATCCCAGGATCTGGACCATCTCTTAAGGCCACAAAGGGATAAGATCAAGGCACACGGGGGTTTGCCCCCGCACCCCTGTTTGGCTGTGATGGAACCCCCCAAGTCTACCCACTCTGAATTAGAGAGGGGTGCAGTGAGTGGGAGAAGCAGAAGCCGCTTCCTCCTGGTCCTGTGGTTCCTACCGCATCCCGACTGTCCCCGGTGACGGACACTCCCCACTTTCATTGCCCCTACACCTTGGCAGGTCCTCCACTCTGCATCCTGGGCTGCTTGGAGCTGAAGCGCTCAGGGCTGGAGCAAGGGGCTGGGAGGAGGGAGGAACAATGGCCCCCTCCCCTCCGCGGCCGGCTGGAGGGTGGGGTCTCCCCGCCCCGCCTCCCCGCTCCTCCCCCGACAAGGCGATGAGGTAATCGCGCCGCTGAGAGGCACGCGCAGCCGGTGCCCAGCCTGGTCTGTCCCCGCGCCCCTGCCCCGCCGGCCGCCGCCCCCCGCACCGTCCAGGCTCCGGCCGCCCGGCCCCACCATGACCGAGCGCTGCAGCCTGTGGAGCGCCCTGTCGGCCGCCGCCTGCTGCTTCTACCGCGGCTCCTTGGTGCAGGTGCAGGTGAGGGGGCGGCTCGGCTGCCGGCCGGGTGCATGGGTCTGGAACCTCCGGCCGCTCCGCCCGGGAACCCGAGCACCCGATAACCCGGGAGCTCCGCAGTCCCGCGGAGCCCCGCAGGCTCTCGGACCCGGCAGCGGTGGTGGGCTCAGGGAGGGGGCGGGGTCGCCCCAGTCTCACCTAGGGGCGCCCAGCTGCTCCGCGGGGGGATGAGGGGTCTTGTGGCCATTCCCGGGACTCTGGGCTGTGGGGACTGACGATCTGGCCTCCTCCGTACCAGGGAGCTGAGCCGGGGCGTGGAGTCCTGGTATGAAGGTTCCCAGCGCCCCTGCAGGTCCTCCAGTTCACGCTCTGGCCCCTGCAGCTGACCAGGGTAGCCTGACTCCCCATTGTACCGGGGTTAGAGTCTGACGGCTGAGTGAGGGGCAGGGCGCGGGGAGGGCTGTGCAGGTGCTGAGACTGGTGTCTGAACGCCTGCCAGCTTCCTGCTTTCTGGATGGGCTCGGTCACTGCTAGGTGCGGGTCTCCCACTCTAGCCGGCCGGACAGTGCCGGTGGCGGTGAGAGGGTTAAACGGAAGGGGGTGGAAGGGAGGACCTGGACCCCGCCTCTCTGCGGAGCATCATCTGGGGCTGACTCTGCTTGAAGTTAGGTACTCAGGGCAGCTAGAGGGGCTTCGCTGGGCGCCAGCTGGAGGGCAGGGATGAAGAACCTGCCCGGGGCGGGGAGGGGGTCCCCGCGCTCTTGCCTCCCGGGTCCCATGGGAGACGCCGGGCGAGTCACCCCTGCGCTCCCCCGGGCTCACACACCCGCTCCGAGCCCGCCTGAATGACGGCTCCGCCGGCGGCGGAGCGCAGCATCCCCGCGCCGGCCAATCAGGCGTGCGCAGGCCGGCCGGTGAGATCATCTTCAGCCAATAGCAGTTCGCGGAGCGCAGGGATGCTGCATTTACACCCCAGCCCCCCTCCCCGCGCAAACTCTTGGGAGCCGGCGACCCCCAGGTCGAGGGTGAAGGAAGAGGGCATAGGTACCCCTAGGAGTCCCCACCCCTAGAGGTGTGGGGGCCCAAGTTGGATCTCCCAAATTGATCACTGATTAGGGCTGGCAAAGAGAAGCCTAGGCTCCCAGCGCCCTTTGACAGGCTCACAGGCGCAGGCTGGGAAGTGACAGGCTCAAGGTCACTCAGGGCCTAGGTCCAGGCTCCTCAGCTCACGACCCTCTCCCCTGCTGGGCCCGGTCTCCCTAGCTCCAGACTTGGGACAGGGTCCTTTTCCTGGGTGAGCTCTTTGTCTAGGACCCCAGCATACAGGGGTGTGTGTGTGTGTGTGTGTGTGTGTGTGTGTGTGTGTGTGTGTGTTGTGAGTGTGTGTGTGTGTGTGTGTGAGTGTAAATTCTCCTTCACCCACCACCCTCCCTTCCCTGGGGCCTGGTATGGGATGGGGAGGGGGCATAGGCTGGTATCAAAGCTGCAGAGTGGGCCAGCTGGGGTCCCCTTGGGGCATGGAGGTATCTAAGATGGCCCTATCTCAATCCAGTACCAGGCCTCTGGCCCCTGGTCAGCTTTTCTATGGGATTCCCACCCCACCCCACCTTCCCCCGGGGACCTGTGTAAGACTTGCCATCTCTGGTCACAATCTCAAGGCCTATTCTCATGGTCCCACCTTCAAGCTGCTGCTGCCCACCTCGGCTTGGGACCCTAGCATACCAGTGTGCCTAAGAGACCATCATCACCAGGATCTTGACCTGAGGGCTTCTCTTACCCCTCTCCCTTGCTTCCAACCCGTGCCCATGTAAACTCTCCTTCCCTCTCTCCCCCATGCCCCACCCTGCCTTACCATGGTTTGAAAAACACTAGGCCACGCTCCACCAGCAGGTGGAACCTGCCCCAACAATTAAAAACCCTCTTGTGGTTCTTACTGTGATTGCTGGGTAAAGCCTGGCTCCCTAAGGCAGCTTCGCATCCCTGCCACACCTGCCCCTGCCCCCATAGCCAATCTCCCCTTTCCCCTGCCAGCCCTCAGCTCTCCCCGCCTCCCCAACACACACATATAACCTCTTCCCTGCCCACCCGTCCCCACCCCCCAGTCCATCTTCTGGCCTGGGCAGGAACCGTACCTCTCGGGGGATGTGAACGGAGTCTGCCCCTGACTAGGGCTAGAAGGGGTTCCCAGTACATTCAGGTGATTGCTGGCATCTGGGGGTTCTGAGCACCTGGGAGCCTTGGCTCTAGCTCAGGGCCACAGTCAGGGCCAGGACTGAGTCAATGCCAAATGAATGGAATTGGAAGTGTTGGAGATGTCTGGAAACTTGGTATGCTGGGGTGATGTAGATCCAGGTAAACTGAGGCAGTGTGGGAACAGAGGGGCATGGAGTGGAGGTGCAATGGCAAGGTCTGAGGTCTCCTGGGGAGTTTGGCAAGGCCTTGGGGAGCCCTGGCTCTGCCCTCGTTTGTCCCTTCTGGAATCTGTGTATGCAGCATCCACTTTGGGGCCTGAAGTTGGTGGTGAGCCTTGCTGTGTCTTCACAGTGAGACGACGCAGGATCTGTCCCATTCTTCTGAGACAAGCTGAGGTTGAGGATTCCCATGGGCCAGCCAGGATCGGGCTGGGCTTTGTGGTGGGAGCTCCCTTAGGACCCCTTGGATCAGTCAGCTTTCATGACCTTTGAGGAGGCCAGTGTGGGCAATCCTGGGCATCACCCCAAGGAGTGACCCTAAGTTCCCTGCTGGGCCGCAATGTCTCATCTTGCAAGGACTGCTGGACACTGCAGGAGGATGGTGCCTTAGGGATTGCCAAGGGTGCAGATAACTTCGGGCTTGGCTGCCTTTCCTGAAACCATCCTGCTGCTTCAGTTTGTCAGCCCCTAGCCCCCAGTATTGTGTGACTTGAGCTCCCTCATCCACCTATAGAAATCCCCCCTCGCCCCACTTCATGATCAGTCTAGTGTCCCTGGTGCATAAGAAATGGTTTTATGGCTGTTGCTTCCAGAAAGGCAACTCAGACTTATGTGCCTCTCACTCAGCCTTAATCCCTGTTCTTCTGAAAGTTTGCCCTGCCCACTGCCGCTGTCCACTGCTGTGGTGCTGACTGCAGGCGACTCCAGTTGCTTCTAGGCTGTTGCCTGTAGGTCTCCTGGCCCAGAAACCTTGGTGAGGAGAGGGCTTAGTTTGTTGAGCACCTCACTCATCCAGTGTAGGTGGAGGTGCAGGGTGTGGAGTGCAGTGGGCAGTGTCAGCTGAGACTGCCTGCCTCCCACGGGGACAGGAAATCATGGTAGGGATCTTGTCAACACTGGCACTTTAGTGTTCCTGGAGTCCCAGGGATGGAGGGAGACCTCCCAGGATGGGGTGGCTGAAGTGAGGAGAGGAGGAGGAAATGGGCTCTGAATACATGCCAACCCTTGCTGTGTGTCTCCAGTTCTCCAAGGAGAAGTACATCCTTGATTCCTCGCCGGAGAAGCTGCACAAGGAGCTGGAGGAGGAGCTCAAGCTCAGCAGTACCGACCTCCGCAGCCATGCCTGGTACCACGGTCGCATCCCCCGGGAGGTGAGTGTGTACGTGGACTCCGGCTGGGAGGCCTTGAGCCCACAGCCTTCCACCCACCACCACGGGGGCTGGTCCTGCCCCATCCCGGCTCCCACGGATCCCTCAGCCTGGGTGGCGTGGAATGAGGGCTGCTCACTGACCCTGTGAATGCCTTCTCTCCCCTCCCCGAGCCTTAGTCTCCTCATCTGTAAAATGGGAGGTAATAGCAGTGCTCACCTCCAAGGGTCATTGTGGAAACCGAGTGACATCATCCAAGCAGGTGCTCAACCTGACCCTGGGAACTCGGGCCATGTTGGCTGGTGGTGTTGTTGTTGCTATTATTGTTGCTATTATTGTGCTATTATTGTTGTGGTTTTTATGAATCAGTTTCCTATGTTTGGTCAGTGAGTGTCAATCCTTGGTCTGCTCAGAATTATTTATTTAAAAAGCAGAGTAGGAAAGAGAGAGAAGGGGAGAGACAGAAACAAAGAGATTTTCTGTCTGCTGATTCACTCCCCAAATGGTCACAGCAGCTCACCTGCCACAGGGCTGGCAGAGGCACAAGCCCTGGGGCTGTCTTTGGCTGCCTGTTTAGGTGCATTATTAGGGCACTGGATCAGAAGTGGAACAGCTGGGAGTCAAACCAGGACTCATATGAAACACAAGCATCACAGGCAGTGGCTTAGCCCACTGTGCTAAGTAAGGGCTACTCGGTTTTGACAAAGTTGAGGCTCTGGGATACTGGACCCTGCCAGGCCCAAGCTCTGCTGGACTGTGTGCCAGACACTGAGGACGCTGAGGTAGAAGAAGCAGTAGCATGGGTCTGACTGGCAGATGATGGGTCTGACTGGCAGGTGGTCAGAGCCGAATAGGAAACGCCCAAGTCCAGAGGAGAGGGGCCACTGTATGTGGGAAGGTTGGAGTTTGCTAGTGGGCAGGGCAGCAGTGGTGTTGCAGCTTGGGAGTGCCAAGGCCCAGAGTGGGTTGGCAGTGAGGACTGGGCATTTACTCATGAGGTGCTGGCAGCCCCTGGGACTCTGTGACCTCCGGTCCAGGGTGCAACCATCCGCAACCCTCATCTTTTATGTCCCCATGGCTGAGGTGCTGCCTTCGAATCTGGGCTGTTGGGTCCTTGTCCCCCAAGCTACACACGTCTCCATTCACTGGTTTCCCTGGGTCTGGTTTAGCTCTCTCACAGCTCCCCCTACTCCAGCTTTACCCTCCCCCTCCGTACCCCTACAGGTCTCAGAGACCCTGGTGCAGCGCAATGGAGACTTCCTCATCCGGGACTCGCTCACCAGCCTGGGTGACTACGTGCTCACGTGCCGCTGGCGCAACCAGGCCTTGCACTTCAAGATCAACAAGGTGGTGGTGAAGGCGGGTGAGAGCTACACCCACATCCAGTACCTATTCGAGCAGGAAAGCTTTGACCACGTGCCTGCCCTGGTGCGCTACCATGTGGGCAGCCGTAAGGCCGTGTCCGAGCAGAGCGGCGCCATCATCTACTGCCCGGTGAACCGCACCTTCCCGCTGCGCTACCTTGAGGCCAGCTACGGCCTGAGCCAGGCAGGAAGCAAGGCTGCCAGCCCCGCCAGCCCCTCCGGCCCCAAAGGCAGCCACATGAAGCGGCGCAGTGTCACCATGACTGATGTCACCACCGACAAGGTCACTCGTGCTGATGCCTGCCCCACCAGGTCAGCCGGCCCCTGTCCTGCCCACGTGCCAAATGGGGGGCATCCTGTAAGCAGAGAGTGGGTGGGAAAGGAGGGAGCCAGCCACCTGGAGCTGGGGTGAAATGAATGCCCCCCCATCTCAGGGCCTTTGCATATGGAAGGGGCAGGAGGAAGGTCAGGTGGTAATGGGTGGTCACTCACATCAGTCCCAACTCTGCCACCTGCTAGCTCCTCCCTGTCTCACCTATACAGAGTCCTCTCTTGCCTTGGCCAAGAGGGTGCTCTGGCTTCCTGCCCCCTGATGCCACCCCTCTTCACCCTGTCTGGGTGGTCCCAGGTGGGTACCTGAGTGCCCCAGAAATGGAATTTGCTCAGCGACATCTTAATGACACCTGGGTTGCCTTGGGGGCTGCATGAGAACAGGTCCCAGGAACAGCCCCAGCACTGACGGCTCCCGTGCTGTGTGCTCTCTGGCCTGCTCCCCTGCCCACACCCTGTCCTGAAGATGAGGAAGCAGCTGTTAGTTATTGTGATAAGAGGGAGTTTCCGAGTCAGGTCTGTCCGTCCCTCATTTCTGTGGCCTCCCTGGCCATTTGCAAGATCTGCTGTCTTCCATCACCAGCACCTGTCAAGGAGGCATTCCTAGCTCCATCTCCCTGTGCCTGGCATGGGTGCTGCTGGCCAAGAAAATGATGCCTGGAAGCTCTGTGGGCAGCAGCCATTGGGTTTGTGGTTTTGGAATCAGGATCCATCAGCTGTGTGTGCCTGAGGCATCCTGAGCAGGCTGTGGGGGCTGTGAGGTGGCCCCTCCCAGACTCATACCTGCTAGCTCCTTTCCACAGTTTTCCCAAGTTGTGGAAAGATGTCCAGGGGAGAGAGTGGTTGTGTATGCTGTGGACTGCACAAGGGCTTCTGACCCAGGAGGCAGCAGGGGGCTAAGATTCACCCTGTCCTCTGTACCTTGAGTTGAGGACACTGCTGAGGGGCTGTATGTGCCCAGAGAATGGGTGGCACGGGGCCAGGTTCACAGGGAATAGCCAAGACACAGCAGACTGAGCAGGTGCCCAGCCTCACCCTACCATGCTGATCACAGCTTTGGTTGGGGGTAGAGTAGGGTGGGAGATGCTGGGCAAGGACAGAAAAGGGAGCAGGACTAAGTGAGGGATCTGCCTGAAACCAGGAGGGCCGAAGCACAGACCAGGATTGGGGGGAGACAGGAGTGCTGGTGTGGGTAATCCTGCTGTGCTCCTGCCCTGCTGGGTGAATCCCGCACAGCCCTGCCCCCTCTGGGGCTTCAGTCTCATCCCTGTTCACTGGGAGGGTGCACACAAAGATTCCCCACGTCTTTCCTGCTTCTCATGGTCAGAGTAGGAGGCACCCAGGCTACAGCAGCGTGCCTGACCTCCTGGCTGCGTCTGTCCACAGCACGTCCCTGCCCCACCCTCGGGACTCCATCCGCAACTGCACGCTCAGCATGGACCAGATCGCAGACCTGCATTCGCCCATGACCCCCATCTCCGAAAGTCCCGGCTCCCCTGCCTACAGCACAGGTAAGGTGGCTGGATGAGGCCTCGGGGAAGGGGAGGGGGTGAGCTGGGGGTGCTGCTGCTGCCGCACCAAGGGGGTATGTGTCTGTCTCTTGGAGAGCTCAGCCCTGCAAGAATGTCTTTAGAGGGGGGCTGGCAGTGCTGCTCACACCCACACAGGAGATATACCCTCCACTTACTGGTTTCCACCCAGATATACGCAGCTCCTACACAGGCCCGGGGAATGGCCAGGCCCCCCAGAACCACTTGAGTTCAGCCTCACCAAGTCAACTATTTATGAGACTCCTGGAATATAATCTGTCCACAGCAGGCTGACTTTTAAGTTGCTCATTTGGGTGTGGTCTGCCAATGACGGTAGAGAGACTCAATGTGGTCAAGGTGGGGAGAAGATTCTGGGTGCCAGGCATACTGCAAGGTGCCCAGAGTGTGTTCTGAAGTCAGCAGAGCCTTGCATAGGCACAGTGTGCAGTGTGCTGGTGCTGGGGCGGCCAGCTTGGGCCCCTCTAGTGGGGCTCCTGCCTTACACATTGGGCTCTGTTGTGCCCTGCGTGGGTAGATGGGGTCTCAGGTGGCATAGGGTGTCTCCGGGTGGCCAGTTCAGACTGCCATGCTTTTTTTTTTTTTTTTTTTTTAAATATGCTGTGTTTCTTAGAACAGTTGAAGTTTCACAGCTCAGTTACAAAGGAAGGCAGTGCCCTGGGCTTCCTTGGAGGGCAGAGAGCGCTTGTGGGTCAGCAGTGAGAGGCCCCAGTCTGGGGGAAAAGAGAATGTTTCCCACACATAGTAGGCAAAGTGTTAGGAGAGGGAGCAGGCTACAGACGCTCTGCCTGGCAGGGGCTCTGTTGGAGTGTGGCCGTGTGAGCATCTGTGTGTGTAGCTGTGTGTATGGCCATGACTCTGTGCGTCTGTGACTACGTGTGTTGCTGTGTACATGGCGATAGCTGTATGTATGTAGCTATGTGACTGTGGGTAGGGGTGTGTGTGTGTGTGTGACCGAGTCTAGCTGTGTGTATGGTCATGACTGTGTGCATCTGTGTGACTGCGTGTGTGTGTGTGTGTATCATTGTGTATGTAGCTGTGTGTGGCCATGGCTGTGTGTGTTGTCTGTGTCTGGTTTATGCCCCACAGTTCACTCTTGGGGGCTCTACCCCAGCGATCCCATCTCATCCTGGTTACCTCCTCAAAGACCCTGTCACACGAGCCACATACAGAGCACAGCCAGGGCTCTTCAGAATGTACCCCAGGGCTGGTCCTGGGCCACCCCATCACCCTGTAGGGAGGATGGAGCCTGTCCCGGGGGAAGGGGAGGCAGTTCGGTGAGGAGCTGTGGTAATGAGTTTTCTCTCTGGACCCCTCTGCAGTTACCCGCGTCCACACCACCCCTGCAGCCCCCTCCGCCACAGCCCTGCCTGCCTCGCCTGTCGCCCGGCGCTCCAGCGAGCCCCAGCTGTCCTCTGGAAGCACCCCAAAACACCGTGGGGACTCGGACAAGAGCTGTCACGCCAGCCCCTCCCACAGCCTCTGCAAGGCTTCGCCGTCCCCGTCCCTCAGCAGCTACAGCGACCCAGACTCTGGCCACTACTGCCAGCTCCAGCCCCCTGTCCCCGGCAGCAGGGAGTGGGCGGCGCTGGAGGCCTCCAGCAGGCAGGCCAGGAGCTACGGGGAGCGGCTGAAGGAACTGTCAGAACGCGGGGTGCCTGAGGGGGACTGGGGCAAGGCCTTGAGCGTGCCTGTTGTGGAAGCCACGTCCTCCTTCAGCCCAGCCACCTTCCAGTCCCTGCTGATGCCCAAGGACAACAGGCCCCTGGAGGTGGGCCTTCTGCGCAAGGTCAAGCAGCTGTTGGCCGAGGTGGATGCCCGGACGCTGGCCCGGCACGTCACCCAGGTGGACTGCCTGGTAGGTGTCCCGTGAAGCACCCGCCCCTGTGTCCTCTGGCCTTGGCACAGGGATCGGGTGTGAGGAGCCTGGAGTTTGGCTTGTGACTTACTTTGCTTCTCTGATTTGGGGCTGGTGGGTCCTGCCTGTCGGGGCCTGTGAGGTCTGCTTTGAAAAATGGAAAAAGCTAGGTATTCTTGCTTCCAACAAGTGCCGGTTTGGCCCTGGAACTAGGCAGCCCTGTTAGCCAGAGGCAGGAGTGGGGACCCGGACGTCTCACACCAGGCCTACGGTCCCAGGTCTCCTTCCTTACGCCCCCTGGTGGGCACACGGGTAGAACCCGTTACTTAGTCCCAGACCTGGGTCCTTGTCTGGATGTGGGGATCCCGCGTTCTCAGCCCCTACTTTTCCCGCATTATCTGGTTGCCCGTCCTAGAGCTAGGCGAGCAAGGCAGGGTGGTCGCTCCATGAAAGAACCCAGGTCCCATGTGCAGTGTGGGACTGTAGACAAGCTACGGGTCTTGAACCTTAGCTCAATAATTGACAGGCACCTCGGGCCGTTTTGTCATGCATCCCCCATTTCACAGATATGGGGACTGAGGCCCCCTCAGCAAAGTGGGCTCAACTTGGTCCACGCCGCTGCGAGGGGGTGGAGGCGCTGGGATGCAAACCCCGCCTCCCAGCCAAGCCACCCCTCCTGGTAAAGCTCTCCTCTCGCTCCCAGATGGCTGGGGCCAGCCCTGACAGGAGATTAATCAGCCCTCTGGGCGTCCTCGCAGGTTGCTAGGATACTGGGCGTTACCAAGGAGATGCAGACCCTAATGGGAGTACGCTGGGGCTTGGAGCTGCTTACCCTTCCCCATGGCCGGCAGCTACGACTCGACTTGCTGGAAAGGTGAGGCGCGCCCAGGTGCTGAGGGCGCGCGGGGAGGACCGGGAGTCCCTGACCCCCCGCGGGCTGCGGCCGAGTCCCCCACCCCACCCTACCGACCAGTCCCAAGCGCTTCACAACCACCTGCACCCACTCCTGCTTTCCCAAACACTTCAATCCTTTCTTGGTGGATTCGGCTGTTTTTGCATCCTCCGGACCAATCGTCTCCTGGTCCCTTTGCCTTGGCCCCGCCTGTCAGTTCGGGCTTCCCCGCGTTCTTTCCAAAAACTGCTCAGCCGGAAGGATTCCACCCATCAGTCACAAGCCCCGCCTGGCCACCTGGTCCCGCCTCAACCCATACCGGCCAATCAGAAGCCTTTGCCTTGCTCCTCCCCTCCTACCGCCACTCTGGCCGCGCTCCCAGCCTCATTGGGCTCTCCCACTGGTCCCGCCCTCTGCCTTGACCGCCCACCTCGCCGGCCCCGCCCCATCCCTCGCTGGTCCCACCCATCCCTCGCTGGCCCCGCCCACCTCCTCGCCGGCCCCGCCCCTCTGACCCGGCCCTCCCACAGGTTCCACACCATGTCCATCATGCTGGCCGTGGACATCCTGGGCTGCACGGGCTCCGCCGAGGAGCGCGCCGCGCTGCTGCACAAGACCATCCAGCTGGCGGCCGAGCTGCGGGGCACCATGGGCAACATGTTCAGCTTCGCTGCTGTCATGGGCGCCCTGGAAATGGCGCAGGTACCGAGGGGCCCACCGGGTGAGCGGGACAGTCCCCAGTGGGCTGGAGGGGCCCTGGGGTGCGTGGCTCTGGGATGGCGCTTCCAGACCCGCCGGCAGAAGGGCAAGGGGAGGACCGAGTCCTCCAGGCGTCGGTCGAGGCCCAGGCCATGGCGTGCCTTTTCTGTGGGTCCTCGTGTCCCCTCTTCCCAGAGCACCGAGGGCTGCTTCCTGGCCCAGCGGGCCGCCCCCCTGAGCCGGACGCCAGGTGCGGGACTGGCCCGGGGACTCAGCCTGCGAGGCGGCCCTCCCCTGTAAAAGCGGGTGACCCCCAGCTCTGCGGCCCTCGGAGCGAGCACCCCGCACCCGGCGCCTCCGCTCACGCTCCGCTCTCCGCAGATTTCCCGGCTGGAGCAGACGTGGGTGACCCTGCGCCAGCGGCACACGGAGGGCGCCATCCTGTACGAGAAGAAGCTCAAGCCCTTCCTCAGGAGCCTCAATGAAGGCAAAGGTACCGCTCCTACTGCCACGTGACCCACATGACCCGCCCACCACGTGACCCAGGACAGCCCTGCCTGCCACGTGACCGCTCTTCCACCTCTGAACCCAAGAAGCCCGCCCTCCTGTCAAGTTACCTGTTAGCCCCTACCACGTGACCCAGGACGGCCCTCCCACTCGTCACGTGACTAGCCCCGCCCTCCCCTGCCACATGACCCATGGCCCCACCCTCTCACCTACCACGTGTCCCAGCCTCGCCCTCCCACCACGTGACCCCAGACCCCCATCACGTGATCCTAGCCCTCCCTCCCACCACATGACCTCAGTTGCCTCCCACGTGACCCGCCTCCTCCCCCACACCACGTGACCCCTCCCATCAGGGGCCCCCTCTCTCCCACCATGTGATCCCTCCCATCGTGACTCAGCCCCACCTGCCACGTGCCCCCACCCCCCCACCAAGTGACCCCGCCCCTCTTACACCACGTGCCCCCTCGTCCGCACCACGTGCCCCCCAGGCCCTGACCGCGTGTCTCCCCGCAGAAAGTCCTCCGCTGAGCAACACCACGTTTCCGCACGTGCTGCCGCTCATCACGCTGCTCGAGTGCGACGCGGCGCCGGCCGAGGGCCCCGAGCCGTGGGGCAGCACGGAGCACGGCGTGGAGGTGGTGCTGGCGCACCTGGAGGCGGCGCGCACCGTGGCGCAGCACGGCGGGCTGTACCACACCAACGCCGAGGTCAAGCTGCAGGGTGAGTGGGCCTGGCCCCGCTGCCGTGGCCGTCTGGGGAGTGGCCGGCCGGGGCAGCCTCTCTGACCCTGACCCCTCTTGCCCTGCAGGGTTCCAGGCGCGGCCCGAGCTCCTGGAGGTGTTCAGCACCGAGTTCCAGATGCGCCTGCTCTGGGGCAGCCAGGGCGCCTGCCACAGCCAGGCCCGGCGCTACCAGAAGTTCGACAAGGTGCTCACCGCCCTGTCACACAAGCTGGAGCCCGCCGTGCGCGCCAGCGAGCTGTGACCGCAGGGTCCTAGCCCCTCTGCGGCTGCGGGCGGGGGCAGAGGGGCACCGACCTGCCCCGAGGACCCCAGGGACACTGTGATCTGCCCAAGAATGTTCCGGAGCTCAGCGCCAGGGTCGTGCGTGGACTCGGCCCCGGAGGGACAAGGTCGCCTGCCGCAGCCCCAGAGGCTCAGGCCCCTGCTCCCCCGGTCCCCGGCCCCTCCCCGCTGTACAGAAGCCTTGCCTGTAAATAGTGTACAGAGCCGCGGGCGTTCTTTCATACAATAAACTTTTATGACTCTTTGTGATGTCCATCGAGGGCCCCTGGGGTGGGAGGGAGCGCTTTGTCCACCCAGGGTTGGAGCAGCAGCCCGCCCTGAAGTCCTGTACCTGCCCTGGATACACCCGCAGCCCCACTGGGCAGTGGGCGGAGGCCCTGGGATGCCCCCAAGGCCACCATGTTCCTGCCCCGGGGACCACTGCCACAGCTCCCACTGACACACAACGTGGGACCCGAGACTTTGGCAGTGGAAGAGCTCTCAGAAGTCTGGGGGTGGAAGGCTGGGACAGTGTGGTGGCATACCACATAAGGCTGCCACCTGCAGCACCGCATCCCATATGGACGTCAGTTCAAGTCCCGGCTGCTCCGTTTCTCATCTAGCTGCCTGCTTGTGGTCTGGGAAAACAGCAGCATATGATCCAAAGCCTTGGGACTCTGCACCCACATGGGAGTCCTAGAGGGAGCTCCTGGCCCCTGCCTTCATATTAGCTCAACTCTGGCTGTTAGTGTTATTTGGGGGATGAGGGGTGAACTAGCAAATAAGTCCTGCCCCCCCAAAAAATGTTCAGGGTTGCAGCTGTGGTCCGCAGAGTGAAGGCAGCAGTGGGGACCCCACGTGCTCTGTGCTCCCCAGAGTAGGAGCAGCAGCTTCTTCCTGTGCACACTTGGCAGTGCGGTACCAGGAGTTTGTGTGTGTAGGGATGAGATGAACAGGGACCAAGGCAGACCCACAGGGTGGGCCCCGCTGCAGGCTGGGGAGTGCAGTGTGTGGGTTAGTCACAACTGGGTCATCGGAAGCTCTCCCTTCACCTCTAACTCCTGTGACCCGGGGAGGCTGGCCGTCTGAGGCGTGGCACTGCCAAGATCCTTTTGGCAACAGCCTGGTGGACTCAAATAAATAAACGACTTAAGCTCTCGGGTCTCAAAGTGCCCTCCCGGTAAGGTGGGGGCCATAACGGACCCATCTCAGTGTAGATGCCAGGTGTTGGGCACGTAGCAATGGCTAGGTAAGAGACTGCCGGGTTTGGGGCCCTCGTGAACTGCCGTTGGTCCCTGCTTTGGACACTTGATGTGGCTGAACAGTGCTGGAATCTCACCCTGTTCCTGCATGGCAGGTGCTGAAGCTCAGAGCCGTCAGCACGGTTCCCTTGTCACCCGAGGAGAAAGCGTGGAAAAGGCACCATGCAGGGTGGAAGGTTCCACACTAGTTTCGGTTACGACTGTCACGTCCCGCTTGGTGGGCATCATTCTGTATTTATTCTGCCTGAGCTACCAAGACGGTCCCTTAGTTACGGTTGCTATAGCAACGCGGCCCGCCGTCTCGGATTGGATGGCTCACGGGCGCCCCCTGGAGGTCATTTCCCGGTCATGCGGCAGAACGACGGGGCCGACAGGGCAGCCGGGAGTTGTAGGCGACGGGCTCGGAACGGGGCACGCCGGGAGTTGTAGTTCGGGGGCGGGGCCGTTGGCGGCCCCAGGGGGAGCTCGGGCCTGACCTGGATGGATGGCGGCTGCGACGCGCGGCCGCCGGCCCTGGGGCTCGCTCCTCGGGCTGCTCGGGCTGGTCGCGGCCGTGGCCGCCTCCTGGGACCTGACTTCCCTGCGCTGCAACTTCTACGACTTTTGTGAATGCGACTTCCGGCCCGATTTTCCTGGTGAGGCGTCAGGGAGCCGCGGCCAGTGTCGGGGGAACGCGGGGAGTCCCGAGCTGGCTCCGGGCCGGAACAGCTGTGGGTCCAGGGGGCGGAACCGAGGGGCGGGACCCGGGGCTGGAGCACGGCCACGGGCTGAAGCGCGCCCGGCCCGGCGGGTCCGGAATCTGAGGTACAGACCCGAGGTTTAGGGGCGCCTGTTGGGGAGACCCCGAGGGCCTGCCAGGATGGAGGCAGCCCTTTGACAGCCCCCTCACAGCAGGGGGGTGTGTTGGGCCTCCACGGAGTGCACAGGCAGGCTAGGGGGCGGGCTGTCCCGGTGGAGGGCAGGGGGTTCATGGCAGTTCTTGTCGGCGGCTCCATAGGGGCGGGCGCCGTCTGGAGGGCGGCCTGGAGGCGTCGCTGCCGAACTGTCAGTCTGGCGGTGGGCCCAGATGGCCAGTGTCCCCCGCCTGCCCTCATCCGTGACTCTCCTCCTGCGGCCCTAGCTTTGGAATGTGACCTGGCCCAGCACCTGGCCGGCCAGCACCTGGCCAAGGCGCTGGTGCTGAAGGCGCTCAAGGTCTTCGTGAGGGACCCCGCCCCCACCAAGCCCCTGGTGCTGTCCCTGCACGGCTGGACGGGCACCGGCAAGACCTACCTCAGCTCCCTGCTGGTGCACCACCTCTTTAGGCGCGGCCTCCGCAGCCCCCACGTGCACCACTTCTCTCCCATCATCCACTTCCCCCACCCGAGCCACCTCGAGCAGTACAAGGTAGGCTGCCTGCATGCACACGGGGCATGCAACTCCCCTGCACTGGGTTGTGGGGGCGGGGAGAAGGGCACTGACCCTTGGGGAGGTCCCCTCTGGAACAGAACTAGGAATGGCGCCCGGGGCTTGCAAGCAGCAGGGAGCGGTACCCATCCTGCACCTGTTGGCTAGAGGCTCCGCGCGAGAGCCCTGGGCCGACCCGGCGTCTACCACTGCTGCTGGCCTTGCGAGGCCCTGCCCGGGCTGGTGGAGGCTGCGGAGTGGGACCCGAGGCCGCTCTGGGAGGCAGCACCTCTCTGGGAAGGGATCTGATCACTGCTTGGGGAGAAGCCTGGGGTTTCACGAGTCTCCCCAACACTACCTCTCCTCCATGCCCGTCCGGCCACCCCCGCCTCCCCAGGAGAATCTGAGGAGCTGGGTCCAGGGCAACCTCACAGCCTGTGGACGCTCCCTGTTCCTCTTCGATGAGGTGGACAAGCTGCCCCCAGGGCTGATGGAGGTCTTGCGGCCCTTCCTGGGCCCCTCCTGGGTCGTGTATGGGACCAACTATCGCAAAGCCATCTTCCTCTTCATCAGGTGGGCCTGGCCTCGCTGTTGGGCAGGGCAGGGTGGGGGGCCTCCTGGCCTGTGTTCCCGCCTCCAGGGCACAGTGCACTTCTGTGGGCATCACCTTGTTGGCTCCTATCCTGTCCCTGTCTGGGGGCCCTGCCTGAGTCCCGGGTCCCTCATGGTTTCAGCAACACCGGCGGCGAGCAGATCAACCAGGTGGCGGTGGAGGCGTGGCGCGGCCACCGGGAGCGTGAGGATATCACTCTGCAGGAGCTGGAGCCGGCCGTCACCCGTGCTGTCCTGGACAACCCGCACCGTGAGTCGGCGGGGGTGGGGCTCCCTCTGGGAGTTGGGGCGCTGGGGACCCGCCCTCCTCGGCCCTCTCCCCTCTGGTGGAGCCTGCTCAGTAGCGCCCGCCCCTCTCCTTGTAGATGGCTTCTGCCGCTCTGGCATCCTGGAGGAGCAGCTCCTGGATGCGCTGGTACCCTTCCTGCCCCTGCAGCGGCACCACGTGCGGCACTGCGTGTTCAATGAGCTGGCCCAGCTGGGTCTGGAGGCCCGGGAGGAGGTGGTGCAGGCCGTGCTGGACAGCATCAGCTTCTTCCCTGAAGAGGAGCAGCTCTTCTCCTCCAATGGGTGCAAGACGGTGGCCTCTCGCATTACCCTCTTCCTCTGACCCTACATGGCAGGGACGGGGCAGAGCCGGCTGAAGAGCCCCCGCGGCCAGCAGCTAGGAGGGTGTTGGTCAGGCACCAGGGACAGGACCCAACAGGGTCGCGACCTCGTAGCTGGCTGCAGAGTACCTCGGGTGGGCGCTGCCTTGTCCCCCAGGGACATAGGAACTCATTGAGCCACCTGCTTCATCCCTCCTTCCCTGGCCCAGCACGAACCCAGCCTCAGGGACTGTGCTGGAGGCCACACCTGCTCCCAGGTACCTCGAGGCCCAGGCTGGGTCTTCTCATCTCCCTGAGTGGAGGGACTTGAGCTGCCCCCTGGGACTGGTTGGAGACAGTTTTTTAATTTTTTAAGAGAACATATGTAATAAATGGAGCCATGGAGCAGAGCACGTTGGGCACTGGTTTTTCTCACTGCCCTGGGAGGTGGTGCCTCTGCTGGGCACCTGGTGGCCTGGGATGAGGGTCGGGGAGAAGGGTCTGTGGCCTCAGCAGGAGTCCAGGCTACCCCAGGCCCTTTCAGAGAGCTACAATGAGGCGGGCTCCTGGTCAGCTTCCGCAGGTTGCGGGCTCCGGCTTGGGCTATGGGCGCCAGCTTGGGCTGCGGACATTGGCTCAGGCTGTGGGCTCGGGCTTGAGCTGTGGGCACCCTTAGTCTGGCTGGAACCTGAGCTCGCACTCTGACCCCAGCTCAGGCCCTCAGTGACCTGGATCCAGTCGGGGCCATAGAAAGACTCTGTCCTGCAGGAGCTCCGGAGCAGCCCGAGGCTCTGGCCCTTGGCACCCATGGTGCTCCAGCCATGGGCTGTCTTGGCCTTCCTGAACCTCCGCTTTGGGCCTCGGGTAGCCTCCATCCTGCTGACCTTCTGTGTTGGGCCCTGGGTGACCTTGGTCTTGCTGGTTTTCTGTGTTGGGCCCTGGGTGGCCTCCATCCTGCTGGCCTTCTGTGTTGGGCCCTGGGTGACTTTGGTCTTGCTGGCTTTCCGTGTTGGGCCCTGGGTGACCTTGGGCCTGCTGACCTTCTGTGTTGGCCGCTGGGTGACTTTGGTCCTGCTGGCCTTCTGTGTTGGGTCCTGGGTGACCTTGGGCCTGCTGGCCTTATGTGTTGGGCCCTGGGTGACCTTGGTTTTACTGGCCTTCGGGGTTGGGCCCTGGGTGGCCTCCATCTCACTGGTCTGTGTTGGGGCCTCTGTGGCCTGGATGGAGCTGGACTGCGGTTGTGGGCCCCGGGCAGCCTTGGTTTTCCTGGGGGTGTGGCTTAGGCCATGGTCCTTCCCATCCTGGTGGGACTGCGAGGACTCGGTCCTCAGCACTGAGGACTCAGATGACGTCACAGCAGCAGTGGAAGTGCTCTGGTACTCCTGGCCGAGGAAGGATGTCTCCGTCTCGGAGGTGGGCACAGTGACTGGTAAGGGTATACAGGCCTCTGTCAGGCCTCTCCCCTCCTCTGGGCAGTTTCCAGGCCGGGCTAGCCCAGCCACCTCAGTCGGCTGGCCCTGAGGTTGGTCAGGGCGACTGGGAGGGGGCCTGGGGCTGTGCTTGCTCGGTCCCTGGCCTGCTCTGCAGGTCGCCCCTGCCCTCTGTGCTCCCTGCAGTCTCAGTACAGTGCTGGTCACTGCTCTGCCTGCCTGCTTCCTGGCATCTGCCTGGCTCCCTGCTGGCTATTCACCTGCACACGTGTGACCTGGAGCCCACTCAGGTCATCTGCAGACATAGCCTGGGCTGTGCCCGTCACCAGGGTCCCACCCAGTCCTGGCCCCAGACTTGGTGCCTGTGCTGGGTTGCCCTGAACAGGGGGAAGGCGGCTGCACTGCCACCACTACCACCACCACCACCGGGACCCTGCGAGAAGCAGCATTCAGCTTTTCCCTTTTTTCCCCTGCCGGGCAGGGCACTGTGGATGTCTGCAGGGTCTGGGGGCTGTTCTCTGGACTAGGCTGAAGGGAGGAGGAAGGACCTAGAGGGACGGACCCCATCCCCTCGAGGTGAGGCTGTGGCCGTCACCTCTGCACTAGTCACTTGCCCAAGGTCATGTAGTGATATGCATCTTGGACCCCCGAGATGCCCAGCAATGGAAGGGCTGGAGACTTACAGTCCAGGAAGGAGGCCGAGGAGGTCTGCTCGACGTAGCTGTCAGTCAGCGATGGCACCTTGAGGTATCCGGGCTCCACCTTGTCCTCCTGTGGCCGCAGAAAGACCAAGCAGTCACGGGCGGTGGCAGGAGGTCCCAGCCCACCTGCCCGCCCAGAGCACACTTCTGCACACAGGCTCCATCCTCCTTGGTGCCAAGGTGTGGTGGGGTGGGCTTAGACCAGGCCCAGCCCCGGGGAAGAGGGCACTGGCGCAGGGCTCTGAGGAAGGGGCTGGTTGGTCGTCAGCTTTCACAGCTGAAAATGAGCAAGCTGTCAGCTGTTGCATGTGTGTGTGTTCACACCGCCCGGGAGGGAGGAACTAAGCAGCTCCCCACTCAGGGTTCCCAGGTGTCACCTGTGTCACTAACCCATACCCAGGGCAGGGTACTGTGGGCTGCAGTTGTCAGAACCACCTGCCTGGGACACTGGCAGCCCCGGGCCCACCTGGGCATCTGCTCACCTCGGCTTTCTCTTCCGTTTCTGTGGCCTTGGCCTCTTCTGTGCCTTTAAGCTCCATGTCCAGGTCCTGGGGGCTAGCCCTGAGCCCCTCAGAGATCTCCACCAAAGGCTCGTCCAGCTTCCAGGACAGGCTCAAGGCCTGGGCCCTCAGGCGCTCCAGTGCCCGCACTCTGAGGGGCCTGCCGTAGGGGTGTGCGTTTGTGCACACATGTGCCATGGCATGTGCCAGCATACTCGTCAGTCCCCCGGACCTCCATACCACCCCCAAGAAGCAGACAGAGGCCCAAGGAGGCCCTGAGGCCCAGCTGAGCCCAGTCCGGCTGTGTCCCACAGCTCACCCCACGACTCCCTCCAGGCTGCTGGGCTGCTGCCCGCTCTCTAGCATGCGCTCCAGCTGTATCTTGGCCAGCTGGCCCACCTGGCTGCGCACAATGTCCTCTGCCGACATGCCCGGGAAGAGGTTGGTCATCAGTGTGATCAGCTGTGGGGAGGGGGACCGAGCCACTGGCAGCCAGAGCAAGGGGCAGGGCATGCATTGCCCTGCTCAGGACCCAAGAGAGAAGGGCTTGAAAATAGGTTTTATTTTAAAAAGTTATTCTATGGGGATGGCAGTATGGTAGAGCAAGTTAAGCCTCAGCCTGCAGTGCCAGCATCACATATGGGCATTGGTTCAGTTCTGGCTGCTCCACTTCCCATCAAGCTCCCTGCTGATGGCCCAGGAAGGCAGCAGAGGATGGCCCAAAAGGCCTAGGCCCCTGTACCCTATATAAGAGACTGAGATGAAGCTCCTGGCTCCTGGCTTTAGACCAGCCCAGTTCTGGCTGTTGTGGCCATTTGGGGAGCAAACCAGCAGATGGAAGATCTCTCTCTAACTCTCTCAAATAAAAATAAATACATATTTAAGAAATCTATTCAAGATGCAGAGAGAGTGTGGGAGCAGGCATGTATACATATATATAATGTATATATGCATTAATGGTTTCGCTCCCCAAACACCCACAGTGGTCAGGCCGGGAGTTTGGTCCAGAATCCCACATGGATGACAGGGCCTTGACCACTGGGGTCATGGCCACTGCCTACCAGGCTCAGCCTTATCAGGAGCCAGAATAGTAACTGACCCCAGGCACTCTGCAGAGCCGTCCTGGAGCCATGTCAGGTGGTGGTTTTTAAAGGGATGACTCTTTTGATCCCAGAACCAGGAGGAGACCACAAGAATGGGCCTGTTCCAGGCCCAAGCCAGGCAGAAGAGAAGAGGCAGGACCAAGGGGACTGCCTTCTTGGAGCCTTGTCTCAGCCTCGTCACCTGGGGGTCTCGCTGGGCTGGCATTGGCAGCCCTTGAAACTAACTAAAACGTGCCCTTCGGGCTGGGGAGGGTCTGAGGCAGGCACCCACCTTCGGCTGGTTGGGATTGAGGAGCAGGACAGTGGCAAGGTCCTGGCGGGCCCCGAAGACATCCTGCAGCAGCCGGCGGCTCTTAGCCCGGTACAGGTAGTACTGGGGCTCCTGTGGGTTGTGCTGGATGGCGGCTGAGAAGTGGTCCTCTGCCTTCTGGAACTGCCTGTGGGGTACAAGGGCCCCAGGCCACAGTGAGCTCGTCCCCTGGGAACCCAGGGTGGACAGCCGGGAAGCTCCACTGCCCCTTTTCCCTTGGCTGGGCACCCCTGGCCTCCCCCCTCCTCCAACTGCGCCCTTGCGCCTGTGTCCCATTATCAGATCACTGGTTCGAGTCCCAGCTGCTCTGCTTGTGATCCAGTTCCCTGCTAATGTGCCTGGAGAGACACTGGGTGATGGGAGCGGGCCAGGGGCAGGGACCGGGTTGCCGTCCCCTCACCTGCGCCGCTGCTCACAGAAGCCCAGTCTCTCCTGCAGCAGGCCCATGCGCATGTTGGCACCCTCGTCTTCCGGGTTCAGCGCCAGCGCCTGCTGGTAGTCAGCCTCGGCGAAAGTCAGGTTGCCCAGCTGGAAGAAACAATCTGGGGCGGCAGGGAGAGGGGAGGAGAGGGCCCCCTCACCGCCACTGCCCTGACCTCAGCCCACCAGGCTGCTTTCTGGGCCACGGAGCCCCTTTTCGATGTGGTCATTCCAACAGGAGACTGAGGCCAGCTAAGGCAGCCTTTCCCCCAGATCGGGCACCAGCCCCGGTCGGGGGGGGGGTGAGTGGGTGGTATGAGGCCACACCCTCTCTGCTCCCCCCACTCCCCCTCACCACCACGGTTGAGGTACAGGCCCTTCTCCCGCTGCTCCTCCTTGAGGGCCTTGTTGAGCAGCAGCACACCCTCCTGGTAGGCGCCCTGCATATAGCAGCACACCGCGAAGTCGTTGTAGGTGAGCAGCAGCTGGCGCTGCACCTGCTGTACTATGTCCTCCTGGCTGCTGGTCACCATGTCCAGTGCCTTCAGTAAGTCCTCCATGGCTGCGTCAAACTGCCCAAGCCGGCGGTACATGGTGCCCCTGCAGGGTTGGGAGGTGCAGGGTGTGGCAGGTGGTAGCAATGGATAAGCAGGCCAAAGCATCCCCCTCCCTCCCCTAGCAGGTGCATGGAACACACAGGCCTGTCCAGAGGTGCTGCTTCTGGGCTCAAGGAGATTCAGTGATCCCTGAGTCACACAGCCAGTCCCTGGGGAAGCCAGGGTCAAGCCCAACTCTCACCCTCTGCATGGCAGGGGCCAACCCTCCCAGCACAGCCACTGTTCAGCAAGTCTGGGGTTCTGGGACTCTCCCCTGGCCCCTGACTGGAACACTGCCAAACTGAGCTGGCCACTCCTTTGGGTTGGAAGGGATGCCTCGGCCCTGACAGGAAGCAGGGCCATTCAGAGACCAGCTGGGGCATGCTGAGGCCTGGGGGAGGTCAGGCACTGCCTGGAGACCATGCAGCCAGTCTGGAGGGAGGGGCAGTACCGGAAGAGGAAGAAGCTGGGGTCCAGGGGGTTGTTCTCGATGGCGCAGCTTATGCACAGCAGCGCATGCTGCAGTTTGCCCTGCACCGCCAGGATCCCAGCATCGTAGCGGGCCTGCTGGGCCTGCTCCACCATCTTCTGCAGCAGCTGCCTGGCTTGCAGGTGCTTTGGGTTCAGCAGCAGGGCACTGTGCAGGTCCTGGTAGCACAGGCTGGGCTGTAGGGAGCACAGCGGCAGGGGAGGCCTCAGGTGGCACAGGCCAGTGCATGCCCAGCACAGGGAGACTACACCACTCTCTGCCTCTTGGAGGAGGCAGGGCACATGGCAGGAACCTCCACTCCACTTCCCATCTCATTGACTTATTTGTTGGGAAGGCAGAGTGGGCAGGGAAAGAGAGGGGCATTCTCCAAATAAGCACGACAGGCCCGGCGCTCCATTCAGGTCTGCCATGTGTGCGACAGCAGCCCGAGGACTTGGGCCTTCTTCCTGGAGTTTCTCAGGTGCCTGAGCAGAGGCAAAGCAGCAGGGATGGGAACCGGTGCTCTGCACGAGCTGCTGGAGTCACTGTGCCACCACGCTGCTCCCACATTCTTGCTGGTCCCTTTCTGGATGTGACCTGAGGTGAGTCAGCCAGACCAGCCTGGCTGGTTCCTGCCTCCTCCTGTGACTTGACGTGTGTGATCTCCTGACTGCATCCATCCCACTGCCAGGCCTCCCCCTCCTCGGGCCCCCCATGCCCTGCCTTTCACACCCTGACTGGTATGTCCCCAGACAAACTCTGCCCAGGGACAGATTCAGGTCTGAGTGGAAAGCTCCCCAGGTTGACACCTCCCACTGGGGCGCTGCTCGAGAAGTCGATCACTCAGTGAGTCAGTCGAAATGCAGTTTCGGGGAGCATCCTGCAACCTGGGGTGACTTGGGCCGCGTGGGAGGCAGGTGCCAGTGGACACGGGAAGGCAACAGCTATGAGCATGAGACGTGAGGGTGTGACATTGGGCAAGTCACCCCAGGGCTGGCTCTTTATCCACCTCAGTGGTGATCACTCAAGTGACCAGGTCTCTGCCACCCACACGTGACCTGGGTGGAGTTCCTGGCTCCTGACTTCTGACCCTGGCCCATGCCTAGACATCATGGATGTTTGGGGAGTGAACCAGCGGATGGGAGCATTCTTTTGCTCCCAGAGAGGCAAATAAATATGAGAAAGTATGAGTACTGTGTGTTTTGCAGGCCTATGGGGGCGTCCACAATCATTGTAATTACTGGCCAAGGGGATGCTGCCGTGAATCACCTGCGGGATGCTGAAGCCCCGCCCCTCAGCCCAGGGGGTGTGGCCAGGGCTGGCCAGGACTGAAGCCAGTCCAGCAGGGTAGCGCCTACTTACTCGCTGGAATTGTGGGCTCAGAGTCCCAATTCACCACCAAAGGGAGGTGACCCTGCCTGTTCCCTGGCCAAGTGGCTGATCTGGTTCCTTCCCTGTGCCTGCCTCAGCACCCTTGCTCAGGCACCTGAGAGTTGGGGAGACCAGGGTCTCTGGTCCGGGGTTTTTCACTGGCTAGTACTGAGTAGAGAACCACACACCCACTCCCCCACCCCCACCAAGTAGGACTGCCCCAAGGGGAGGGGAGAGCCATCTGCTGGGCTGGCTCAGAGCCCCCAGTTCTCCTGGGCTCCTGCTCCCCACCCCACCCACAACCATCAGCTCTACCTTCTGGAAAGAGTTGTAGAGCCTGGCGCGGAGGACAAAGACATCAGGGTTGCTTGTGCCCTGTTGCACCTCCTTGGTGGCGAGGACCAGGCAGTCATGATGGCGTTTGAGGGCCAGGAGACAGGCCATGCTGAGGGCAGAGGGCACAGGTGCCTGTGGTGTCTCAGGACGGGGTGGGGCAGGAGAGGCTGCTGGGGCACTGGGGCCAGCCAGCGCTCACCAGCGGTAGCGGAAGCAGGATTTCTCAGGCTGGAGGTCTGAGGCTTGTAAGAAGATGCTTAGGGCATCCTGGAATTCGCACTGCTCATAGAGGCACTGGCCCTGGGGCACAAGGACAGTGGGTTGTGCCTGTGAGCTCGGCAGTGCCCACCAAGTGGGTCACAAACAGCACAGGGGGCAAAAGGAGAGACAAGAGGCAGGGACAGGCATCGTGGCACAGCAAGTGGAGCCTCTCCCTGCAGTGCCAGCCTTCTATATGGGCACTGGTTCAGATCCTGGCTGTTTCACTTCTGATCCAACCCCTTGCCAATATGCCTGGAGAAGCAGAAGATGGTCCAAGTGCTTGGGTTCCTGCACCCACATGGGAGACCTGGATGGAGTTCCTGGCTTTGACCTGGCGCATCCCCAGCTGTTATGGTCTTCTGGAGAGTGAACCAGCAGAAGGGAGATCTCTGTTTCTCCTGCTATCTCTCCTTAATGCTATCTTTCAAATAAATGGTCTTTTAAAGATTTATTCATTTTTAGGGCCCAGCGCAGTAGCTTAGTGGCTTAAGTCCTTGCCTTGCACACGCCGGAATCCCATATGGACAATGGTTCTAATCCCGGTGGCTCTGCTTCCCATCTAGCTCCCTGCTTTAGGCAGTCGAGGATGGCCTAAAGCCTTGGAACCCTGTTCCCGCATGGGAAAGCAGGAAGAGGCTCTGGGTTCCTGGCTTTTGGATCAGCTGTTGTGGCCACTTGGTGAGTGAATCAATGTATGAAAGATCTTCCTCTCTGTCTCTCCTCCTCTCTGTATATCTGACCTTGCAATAAAAATAAATAAATCTTTTTTTAAAAAAAAATCTTCCTCTCTCCTCATCCTCTCTGTCTCTCTGTATATCTGACTTTGCAATAAAAAATAAGATAAATCTTTAAAAATATATATTTTTTTTAATTGGGAAGTTAGATTTACAGAGAGAAAGATCTCTGTCCTCTGGTTCACTCCCCAAGTGGCTGCAATGGCCACTGAGAGCTGAGCTACTCAGAAGCCAGGAGCTCCTTTCAGGTTTCCCAGTTGGATGCAGAGTCCCAAGGACTTGGGCCATCTTCTATTGCTTTCCCAGACACAAGCAGGGAGCTGGATGGGAAGTGGGGGAGCTGGGTTATAAGGCGGCACTTATACGAGATCCAGCACTTGCAAAGGGGAGGATTAGCCTGTTGAGCCAGCAGGGTTGGTTCTAGGAATAAGGAATGTCCCCATGGCTGGAGGAAGAGCCAGCAGGGATGGGGGCGGAGAGATGGAGAGCCAGTGGGGGATTGGGAGGGAGCTAGCAGGGGTGGGGGGAGAAGCCAGTGGAGGGTGGGAGAATCAGCAGGAAGTGGGGGGCAGCAAGGGTAGGGGGGCAGCAGGGGTGGGGTGGGAGGTACTCCGGCGTCTCTCCACCTGCAGGTAGAGCACAAACGCCAGTCGCTCCAGGTAGAGGGTGTTTTCAGGCTGGTCGGAGTAAGCCCTCCGTAGGTTTTGGACCGCCGACGAGAAGTCGCAGAGCTGGATGTAGGCCTCGGCCCGTAGGGCGTAAAAGTCCACCTGTGGGGAGCAGGGGGTGACCAACCCAGACTCTGGGACAGCAAGGACAGGGTGGGGGCGGCCACTACCCCCAGCTAATCCCTTACCAGCTCTGAGTCCAGGTGGAGGGCCCTGGAGCAGAAGAGCACACCCAACTCCCAGTCCTCCTGTTCCAGGCACCTCTGGCCTCGGTAGAAGCTGCGGGGACAGGGTAAACAGGCGGAAGTGCTGGCCTTGCCGCCCGTACTGCCCTGGGGACCCATGCTGGTGGGAGTGTGGGATGGGTGGACAGGAGGGGCAGCTGGAGCAGGCAAGGACCCGAGGGGGGCGGTGCTGGCCTTCCTGGAGCTCATCCTCTCCAGCAGGAGCTCCGTCACGCCTGCTGCATTCACTGTGACTGACTGAATGGCACCTGGGACCCCAGGGAGCCAACGTAGACACTCACTACTCGCGGAGTTTGAGGGGCACTGTTAGGCCTGTGACCTTTGACTTTGGGGCGTCGTAGACGTGGAACACCTGGCTGGTCCCGAAGATGCGTTGCAGGTTCCCCTTGGGAACCGGGATCACCCATGGCTTCTGTACGGCAGTCTGGAAGAGGACCTCATACTGCTCCAGAACATTCTAGAACCCAGGGGGACAGCAGGCAGAACAGGCCTCAGGAACCCTTCTCATACAGACACAGCCTTCCTGTGTGCTCTGCACAGTGGAGGGGGCAGACGGACAGGTGGGAGGTACACACAGTTTGAGGGCTGGGGGTTTCTGGAGGCTTCCACTCCCCTGGGGGTGCACTCACCCGAGTCCTGCCTCAGGGTCAAGGTCAGGGCCCAGGTCCTGGGTCTTCCTAGTTCCTGCTTCTAGCTATCCAAATCCCAAACTAATATTATCAGCTCAGCACTACGGCCCAGCAAGTGTGCGTGTGTGTGTGTGTGTGCGCGCGCGCGTGCGCAGCTGGAGGCACTGGAACATAGCTGGCTGGCTGCTGCCCCCCGGCCCCCCGACTTTCTTGCCTCAGTGAGGTCACCTTATAAATCCTCAGCCACCAGAGCGCGAGACCTGTGCCCTGTAGCCCTCAGTCCTGGCTGTTCCACACTTGCAGTCTCCAAGGCTTCCTTCCTCCCGGGCTCGCATCTAGGCCAGTACCACCACGCCACCGGCCACTCGTGCCTGCCCGACCCCAGCTGTACAACTGGCAGGGTCCTTGCATTATTTCGTCTCTCCTGAGACCCCAGGCCTGGCCTCTCAGCCCTACCTTGTGCCTCGGCTTTACCCGCTCAGCCCTCCCGCCCGCACCTCGAGAGCGGCTTCCTTGCCGCCCCCTTCCGAGGACCCTGAGGTGCCGGACTCTGCTTCTTCGTTGCTAGGCACCATTTCCAGGACGCCCTCAGGTCCCGCCCCGCTGTTGCTAGGCACCATAACCAGGACGCCTTAGGCCCCGCCCCCACGTTGCTAGGCAGCATCTCAGGGAAACCCCAGGTCCCGTGGACTGTCGGGAGTTTGAGGCCTACGGCGGGGTTAGGGATTGCATATCTGCAGCCAGGCAGAGCGACAGTGGAGGGAATGACAAGGTTCCCACCTCCCAAATCCCAGGGCAAGAGCTCGGAGCCTAAATCACGGCAACCCCACGGGACCCCGTGACGTGGCGCGGTGGAATGCACGGGGGCGAGTGGGACGCGGCGCCGCCCCGCCGCTTCCGCCCTTCTGAGGCGCGGCGTCCGCGCAGCCTGGCCTTGATTGGACGTCCCGGGACATGTGGCGCCGCGATTGGCCACGCGCTGAGTGACGTCAGGGGCGAGGTCTTGGCATGAATGGGGGCAGCATGGCGCTGTCCGGCCTCTTCCCGCGCAGGCTGTGGCGGGGTCCGGCCATGAGCCGGTGCGTCTTGGAACCCCGGTCCGCGGGGCAGCGGTGGCTGGTGAGTGTTGGCGGCCATGTAGGGGCTGACGGGCCTTCGTTCCAGGGCCGCCGTTAATTCCAATCGGGATTTCCCACTTTGGTCGTTCCTGCCTTCTGGGGTCTCCGGGTTTGGCTGGGTCCCTTCTCCCGCTCCGCTCTCCGCTCCCCCTTCTCCTCCTTGGGGCCGGCGTGCTGGGCTCAGGATCCCTGGTGCCGCCCGCAGGTGGCTGGCCTGGGGAACCCGGGCCTGCCCGGCACACGGCACAGCGTGGGCATGGCGGTGCTGGGGCAGGTGGCGCGGCGCCTGGGTGTCGCCGAGAGCTGGACGCGCGACCCGCGCTGCGCCGCTGACCTGGCCTTGGCGCCGCTCGGGGATGCCCAGCTGGTCCTGCTCCGGCCGCGGCGGCTCATGAACGACAACGGGCGCAGCGTGGCCCGGGCCGGTGAGTGGAGGGTGCATCGATGCGGCACCCCTGGGGGTTCTTGGCGAGTGTGTGTGTGTGTGTGTGTGTGAGAGAGAGAGAGAGAGAGAAGTGGGCTTAACTGCGGCCCCTCTGGGCAGATGGGCATTAACGAAGGCTACCGTCTCCCTGTGCCAAGCCGAGCTGTTCGGGCTTACTGCTGAGGAGGTCTACCTAGTACATGATGATTTGGACAAGCCTCTGGGGAAACTGGCCCTCAAGTTGGGGGGCAGTGCCAGGTGAGCCCCGGGGCTGCCTAGGGTTGGGGTGTGCATGTTGACCTCCCCGTAGGGATGGAAAAGGGCTGCTGACCAGCCCTTCCAGGAGATGGGGTGGGGGGACAGCACGGAAGGGCGATGGCTTGGTTGTCACTCACGCCCTTCCCTACCCCCATCTTCCTGGAAGGGGCCACAATGGAGTCCGTTCATGCATTAGCTGCCTCAACTCCAGCGTGAGTGTGCCCATTTGTCCTGTACTGAGCTGGGATGGGGGGAGGATGGTCACATGGGGTCCCCAGTGTGCCTCACCCCTCTTGCTCCCTCCTAGGCAATGCCAAGGCTGCGGGTGGGCATTGGGCGGCCAACCCACCCAAATGCTGTGCCGGCCTATGTGCTGAGCAGCTTCTCCCCGTCGGAGCAGGAGCTGCTGCCCCCGCTGCTGGACCGAGCCACTGACCTGCTCTTGGATCATATACGGGCGCGAAGCCAGGGCCCCTCCCCAAGCCCCTCCTGACGCCCACTTGGCTCTGTGAACCCAGCTGTGGCCACAGAGCTGTCAGGCCCATGGTGCTGTCCACGTTTTATGCAACTTTTTCTCAGGGTTGCTATGGGCCAGGCCACCCACAGGAAAAGGACCTGGCCAGTCCTGGGTCAGGGTGGGAAGATCATCTCCTCGCTTCTTACTTGGGATGCAGGCAGTATTCAGGGAGACTAAACCTCTTGAGCCGTCCTGGGATCCTGGAAGCGTGGATCTGTAAGATGAAGGAGTGGGCACGTGGCCTCATGGTCAAGGGGCTGCTTGTGGGCGTGCCCAGGCCTGGGTCCTCATTCTGCCTATGGGCGCAGCTTCCTGCTCAGGTGTATCCTGGGTGGCAGCGGGTGATGGCTCAAGGATTTTAGTCTGTGACTTCCCCGTGGGAGACCCAGGTAGGGCTCCCGGTGCCCAGCTTTGGCCTGGCCCCACCGTGGCTGTTGTGAATGGAGAATGAGCCAGCAGGTGGGGAGAGTTCTGCCTTATCTTTCCTCTTCCACCTTTCAAATAAATAAGTATATTTATTTTAAAAAAAAATTCTTGGTTTCCTTAAAGAGAGCGAGCCATGGCTGTTGAAAAGCTGAGACTACCTGGCGAAGGAGCTGGGGCCAGTGGGGTCCAGCAGGCCCCCTCCCACGGGAGGCGCAGGTCCCCTCGCTCTCCTGAGGCCCTGGCCATGGCCTTTCTTCTGCCCATTTTATGGATGAGAAGGTTGGGAGCTCTGGCCTCAGCCCAAGGCCACACAGCTCTCTGCCTAATAGAACCCTTGTTCACACCCGACCGAGGCCCCTGGCACGCTCACTTCAGGGCTGCTGTACGCTCGGCAGGTCCCCATGCGTGTGACGTAGGAGAGCATCCGTAGGTCCTGTGGGTTCGGGGGAATATGGACCTGGCGAGGCACCAGACCCAGGTCCCCCGGCCGGTAGGCTGTGATGCTGGACAGTTGCTGCAGCAGGGCCTGCGCCCTGGGTGGCTGGATGCTGAGCCGGCTGCGGGGGAGTTGGCAACAGGGGGTCAGGCCTTGGGAAGCCAAGGTGGCCGGCTCAAGGTCAAGGCTGTGCAGAGCTGCACACTCACCTCCCTGGGGCCATGCCATGGGGTTGGGCCTCCTGACGTCGGCATACTGCCACCTGGGGAGTGTGGACCATGGCCGAGCTGAGCAGGGCCAGCAGCTGCTGCAGCATCTCCTTGCGCTGCAGCTGGAACACCACATCAAAGTCGCCATCGTCACCTTCCGCTTGCATCTGCCGGGAGGGCCAGGGGTGGGGGTCAGGTCCGTGGCTGCTCGGGGGCGGCCCACCCACCTCCACGTGTGTTTGCTGAATATTCCCTGATCATGGCAGTTACAGAGGGAAGAGCGGGATACCCGTTTTCCAGTTTGGAAAGACTGAGGCCCCAAGTTCCCCAGACCTTAGAGGGTCTATATCAGAAGAGGATGGATTGGGGTTCCCAGCCCTGCTTACCTGTAGGATGTCCCGGAGGAAGGCCGTGGCCCGGGCCAGGATCACCTCTAGCCTGGCCCGCAGCTCCTGCTCTTGGCTCAGCTCCTGCTGCAGCCGCTGTGCCTCCCCCTTCTGCTGGGACAGCTGCACGTCCATCTGGTCTTTCTGGCTCCTGGGCCCCAGGTGTGTGGGGAGGTTGGACCACGTCAGCAACTGCCCCCGCCGAGCCGGGTCCCCCTCCTGCTTTCTCTCTGGCCCCAGGCCACCCTACATGTGCTGCGACACTGAAGCCCTATGAAGTGTGTGTGGGCAGGGGAGGCAGGTGTCCCGGGTTATGTCCCATGCCCCCTACCCCGCGCACCTTAGTGCCACGATGTCCTTCTGCAGCTGCGCAAAGTTCTGCTCCAGGTGCCGCAGCAGGAGGCGCAGCTGCCGGACCTCGGCCGTGTCCTCCTGTTGTTTGCGGCACTTTTCCATCAGCATGAGGATGACCTGTGGGTGATGGGCGGGTGGCGAGGCCCGGGGAGGACCGAGGGTTCTCAACCAGCCCTGACCCATACGCTTGCGGTCTGGAGAGGCCAGTACCAGCTCTGGGGGTACAGACTGGCTGAGCCTCCACTTCCTCAGGGCCAGGTTCCGTTTATGAAACTACTCACAGGGGCTTTCAAGTGAGTCAGGAAGAGGCCCTGGCATGTCAGGGACCTGCACAAGGAGGTCCTGTCCCCTCCCAGCATCTACTTGGGTCCCTTCTCTCCCTCCCCCCAGCTCTGGGGACCGTGGGTGCACCTTCTGGTGGCCGCGGCTGCGCCTGGCCATGGTCTCGTGGCCGTCCTGCAGCAGCTGCAGCTGCTGGCCCAGCTCGCCCTGGCTGCCGCGCAGCCGCTCATTCTCCTGCAGCAGGTGCATGCCCTGCCGGGACATCTTGGCCAGCTGCAGGGTCACGCTGTTGTTCTCTAGGATGGCCCTCTTGGTGGTCTCCCACATCTGCTTGGTGGCTGTCCTGCGGAACTCGCTGGCCACCAGGTTCACCCGCTGGGTGATCTCTTTCTGCAGTCTGCCCGTGGGGTAGGGGGTGCATTCAACAGCTCTGCCCTGGCTTTCCCCAGAGATAGCCCCCTCCCCCCGCTGCCAGACCTCTGCTACCTGCGTGAGGAGGCCCCGCCGTGCTGTTCTCCCCCTGATGTCCCAGCTGGGGCACCTCCAGAACAGCAAGCTGGGCTGGGGAGTAGGGGGGTGCTCAGGGACGCCCATGACGCCCACCTGTCCTTGTCCAGCACCGATTTCTTCTCCAACTTGTACATGGAGTCCCGGTACTCGGTCTCCTGCCTCCGCAGCTGGTCCTCCAGCACCATAAACTTCTCTGTGAGCTCCTCCTTCTGCAGTCGGAATTCCTCCAGGGATGCCAGCTTCCCCCCTGCCCATCACCGTTCAGCAGAAGGCCCAGTGAGGGGCCTCCCCTGATGTCCTTCAGGGCTCTGGCCCTGCTCACCTTTTACCGCCCTCATCATCATCTACATTGTCGTCCCGCCTCCCCTCCCCTTGGGTTAGCAAGGCCTGGTTCAGGTTCCACCTTCTCCAGGGAGTCTGCCTGGATAGCCACCTTCCGTTTCATGAAAGGCACAGCAGTGGCATAATTGGAATTCTCTGGGCTGGACACACTCGAGCATCCCAGGCACAGCCCTGGCCAGCTGAGCGACAAACACACAGGTCACAGATGCTTTCTCATGTGCAAGGTGGGAGGGGGAGTGGTGCTTCCTGCCTTGTTGGGGCGCGGGGACCATGAAGGAAGATGATGGTGTATGCAGGGCAGCTGTATCATTCCCCGACCCCGCCCGTTCCCCAAGTGTGAAAAGCGAGGGACACGTGCTCGCCTGGGCCACAGCTGGAGTCCGGTCATGTTAGGGCTGCAGCCCGCCCAGGCCCCCTGCCCTGCTGCCGCCTCCTCCTCACCAAGGACGATGTTCTCCGTGGTGAGCTGGTCCTTGGTCTCCTGGAACTCATGGCGCACCTGTGCCAGCTGGGCCTCAAAGGCGTCCTTCTCCAGTTCCTTGGCCAGTTGCAGGTTCTGCAGCTGCTCGTTCAGGTCCGTGATCTCATCCACCCGCTGGCTGAGTGTCCGCTTGAGGAAGGCCACGATCTCTTTCTTGCTGTTGGCCAGCTGCTCAAACTCTTGGCGGGACAGCTTGTCCTGCACTGCCAGCTCGTCCCATTTCCGCTGGTATCTGGGAAGGATGAGCTAGAATGTGATCTCAGGTCTGTGTGACATCCCCTCCCCCTGCCCGCCCCCTCACTCCCCCAGCCAAGGCTCTCGGGGACAGTTGCCCGCTCTGCAGGCCTCCCCCTGCACTTCAGCATCCTGCCGTTGGCCCTTTGTGAGTGAGCCCTTGAGGGGCTTCCTCAGCAGCTTTGCACTGGGCCCAAACCATATGCACAGCCCTCACCCTCCACCAGGCTGGCCCAATTGTCCTGTGGTCCCGAGCTGCGTCCATCTCCTCCATGTGGCAGGCCTGCTGCCTCCACACCCAGCACCCAGCTGAGGCTGGTGAGCTGTTGGTCCCCAGGGGCTGGCCATTGAGTCACTCCTGCCTGCACCTGCCCTGACTGGGGCCTCAGCACGAGTGCAGTTTGTTCCAGGTTTAGTATATGTGCTGCCAAAGCGAGCCTGTGAGTGCAGCTTGAAGAGCACTGCATAGCGATTCTTAGTTTTCCAATGAAATAATGTAAGTCATTGTAAAGATGGTTTTACTTTTTACCAGCGGCACTTCAGGGATGTGGGCTGATAAAGCAACTTGGGGTTGGGGGTTGGTGAGGCCAGGGCTGTCAGTTTGTACCTGTGAGATGGGGGAGGGGAGTCTCCCTCTTGGAAGCTCAACTCTTGTCTTTCTCCTCTCCCACCCCGCCACTGTCTGTGCAATGGGGGTGACACTGGGACCTCTCCCTGGGTTGCTGTCAGGTGCAGAGGGCACCGGCCCAGGCTCCGCCAGCTGCACACACAAGACTGGATGGTAGCTGTGACTACACAGAGCAACAGGCACCTGCGGAAGAGCTGCTGCCCAGCTGTGGCTTCTAAGGTTCCTCTGATCCAGGACTAAGGCCTCACAGCTGTGGAATCAGTTCCTCGACTAATACAAACCATGGGCAAGCGGTAGGTAGCAAGTGTAGCGGTTAAGATTGTCCCACATCCTACATCGGAGCTGCTAATGCAGACCCTGGGAGACCGTGGTGATGCTTCAAGTCCCCGTGGGTTTCTGCCACCCACGTAGAAGGCGCTGTGCTGGCCCAGCCGTGCCAGCACCGTACAGCAAAAGAGCTCGGCAGCTGTTGGGGTGGGGGGCACAGGCCCCAGCACTTCCAGCAGAGGTGGCGGAGGGTGGAGTGCACTCACCTACCATTCCCAGCTCCTGCTGCCCTTCTGTACAACCTGGGTCCCTTGAGGCAGGAGGAGGGGACTGGCTGGGGATGGGATTTCCATTAGCTCTGTGGTCTCAGCACGCTCTGGGATACTAGAAGGGGCCGGCAAATCTATGACCGGCAATCACAAACCTATAGACCTTTAGAATCTCAAGTTTTCCCCATGTGAACCAAAGGGAAACTGAGGCTGGGGTGGGGCTGGGGCCTGCGCATGCCCTGGGAGGCCAGGATGCCGGTCCAGGGTGGGGGCCCCGCCCACCAGCGCACCGGGCTAGTCGGTCCTCCAGGTCTCGGATCTGGATAAGGAAGAACTCGCGCGTCTCCTCCGACAGTGGCGTCTCCACGGGCTTGAGGCTCACGGTGGCATCCTTCTTGCCCCCTTTCTTCTTCTTGCCCTCGGGCTCCTTGACCCCCTTGCCCACCTTCTTTTTGGGAGCCATGGCTGATGGCAGCCACCACTCCAAGACTCCTTTAAGAGGTCAGGTGGTTGCTAAGGAAGTTGGTCCCATACATAGCAACAGACCAAGGGCATGAGGCTGAGCTTAAAGGGGCCCTGCTCTTCCTGCCTGGGTACTCATGGTCATTCCCCTCCCTTAACACTCCCAAAGACAGCATGACTGAGCTGCTCTTTCAGGTTCTAGGACAACCCCTCTTCCCTCAAGGGAAAATAAGCTACAAGGGGCGTATTACAAGGGGTTGGGGCAGGGCCTCATAAGTCACCAGCTAGCCCCTCTGTGCTGGCCAGAAAGCTGTACCTTATCAATCTGTCTTTTTTTTTTTTTTTAAGATTTATTTATTTTTATTGGAAAGGCAGATATACAGAGAGGAAGTCTTCCGTCCTATGGTTCACTCCCCAAGTGAGTGCAACAGCTGGAACTGAACCAATCTGAAGCCAGGAGCTAGGAGCTTCTTCCAGGTCTCCCACGCAGGTGCAGGGTCCCAAGGCTTTGGGCCGTCCTCGACTGCTTTCCCGGGCCACAAGCAGGAAGCTGGATGGGAAGCAGGGCTGCTGGGATTAGAACCGGCGCCCATATGGGATCCCGGTGCATTCAAGGTGAGGACTTTAATCGCTATGTTATCGTGCAGGGCCCGTCAACTCTTATTTTTACAAGAGGCTTGTAGAGGTTGGTGCTGCGGCATAGCTTGTTAAGTTGCTGCCTGTAGTGCCACATCCCATATGAGTATCAGTTTGAGTCCTTGCTGTTCCACTTCCCATCAAGTTCTCTGCTATTGCACCCGGGAAAGCAGCAGCAGATAGCCCAAGTCCTTGAAGCCCTGCACCCACTTGGGAGATCCAAATGGAGTCCCTGGCTCCTGGCTTTGGCCTGGTCCAGCCTTGGTTTTTGTAACCATTTAAGGAGTGAGCCAGTGGGTGGACAATCTGTCTCCACTCTGTCTGAAAGAATAGAGATCTATCTGCTGGCCCACTCTCCAGATGGCCATAATAGCCAGGGCTGGGCCAGGCCAAAGCCAGGGTCCAAAAACTCCACCCTGGTCTCTCATATGAGTGGCAGGGGCCTTGCACCCTGGGGACTGCCCCCTGCTGCCTTCCCAGACACGGGCAGCGCAGCTGTGGGTCCAGCTGGTTCTCTGCTGTGGGATGCCAGCACTGCATGCAGGAGGCAGCGCGGTTGCTGCGGCAGCCTGGATGCGGCTCCAAGGTGAAGTGTTCCTTCCTGCTTCTGCTGCAGTGCAGTGCCCAGGGCGGCTGGGGGCGGTGGGGAGGGGAGATGGAGGTGGGAGGAGGCCAATGTGGTGACAGCTCCCCAGCTGGGGGTGGCGGCATACCGAGCAGGGAGCAGCAGGCTCCTCTTCATCTCTAGGGAGCTGGATGGGAAATGGGGCTGCCGGGACATGAACCAGTGCCCATATGGGATCCTGGCGTGTGCCAGGCAAGGACTTCAGTCACTAGGCTACCATGCTGGACCCCAGGCTTGACTTTTAGCAGGAGATGATGGTGGCTCCACCTGCTGGTGTGACCAACAGCAGAGGAAGTGCAGTGGGCCTTGGAAGTTGGCAAGTGTGCTTGACTCAAATGGCACGATCTTTTTTTTTTTTAAGATTTGTTTTATTCTCATTACAAAGTCAGATATACAGAGAGGAGAAGAGACAGAGAGGAAGATCTTCCATTCGATGACTTACTCCCCAAGTGAGCACAATGGCCGGTGCTGTGCCGATCCGAAGCCAGGAGCCAGGAACTTCTAGGTCTCCCATCGGGTGCAGGGTCCCAAGGCTTTGGGCCATCCTCGACTGCTTTCCCAGGCCACAAGCAGGGAGCTGGATGGGAAGTGGAGCTGCCAGGATTAGAACTGGGGCCCATATAGGATCCTAGCACGTTCAAGGCAAGTATTTTAACCACTAGGCACAGCGCCAGGCCTAAATGGCATGGTCTTTGGGGGAGAGAGTGGATAAGGAGCCCCCGACCCAAGGTGTCAAAAACACCTGTAGGGGTTGTTCACTGCAGGCAGTGGTCACTTACAGGGGGCTGCAATCTGAGGGCTGTTATGTCCTGTGTGGCCTGGTGTGTCTGAACTGTGAAAAGCGATGACAAGTCATGCTTGGAGGAAAGCGCATGGTGCAGGACCTCAGGCCAGAACGTAGCATGCCTGCACTTAGTAAGTGACGGCTGGTGTGGCCAGTGGTGCGGCCAGCCAGCGAGCTTCAGCTGCTTGTGTGGTGGGGCTGGGTAGGGGGGCTGCCTCTGGAACCCATGCTTCCCTGGCTTGCTCAGGGTATCTGTTCCCCGCATGCAGGGGTCATCCTGGGAGGGCAGATATGTGCCCCAAGAAGGCAGTGTGGAGTTCTATAGGGGTGTCTGAGTCCCTTCCCTGCACCCTACCTAGAACTACAGAACTGGAGAGGCCAGGATGCACCCTGGGCCCCAGGACCTGCACCATGCTGCCCCTCCCACAACACCTGCTGTGGTCACCATAGCTCCCCTGTGGTCCCCTTAACTGTCTTTCTGCCTCCCCAGTCAATCCCCACCTTTTTACAATTATTTCTTTATTTATTTTTATTGGAAAGGCAGGTATAGAGAAGGAGAAACAGAGAGAAAGATCTTCTATCCTCTGGTCCACTTCCCAAGTGGCCACGATGGCTGGAGCTAAGCCGATTTGAAGCCAGGAGTCAGGCACTTCCTCCGTGTCTCCCATGGGGAAACCATCCTCGACTTCTTTCCTGGGCCACAGGCAGGGAGCTGGATGGGAACTGGAGCATCCAGGATACGAACCAGTTACCATATGGGATGCTGGTGTGTGCATGGCGAGGACTTGAGCCACTATGTTACTGCGCCAGGCCAGTGAACTCTTTCTTGCCCCCTTTCTTCAGGGTGAAGCTCTGAGGTTTTGGACCAGTAAGAGAGAGCAGCTTCCCCTAAGCACAGACGGCCCAAGTCCACGCAGCCTCAGCAGAGGGAGGTGGGGGATGGGTGGCGAGGGCGAGGCTAGCGAGTGGCTGCAGTCACAGAGTGACCAGCTGGACTTCTGGGGAGGCTGCAGGTGGGAGGGGGAGCACTTCCACGGTTTGACTGGGGAGTCTCCCCAGCGCTCCCCATTCTGGGGCCAAAAAGCTGTCAGATGCTGGTCTCTGCTGCTTCTCCAATGCTTTCCTGCTCTCTTCCGGGGCCCGGGGCTATGGGAGCCAAGCTCCATGCTGGAAGTGCAGGGCTGGAAGGGGGTGATGTTACCCTCAGAAGAGACGGGACAGGGAGGAGGAGGCACCTCCAGGTTGACAAAGCCCGGACAGGAGACTGTGTCCTACCGGGGAGGGGCCACGTGATGGTCACTGGATCAGCTACAGGAATGTGGGCTCCAGAGAGGAAGAGACAGGTCCTCCAGCTGCTGATTGACCCCCCCTTGCTCCCAGTGGTCATGACAGCCTGACAGCTGGGCCTGGGAGAGGCTGTCCCCAGGGCCTGGAGCTCCATGTGGTCTCCCCTGTGGGTGCAGGGGTCTGAGCCCTGAGCTGCTTCCGCTTTTACCCCTGTGCAGCAGCAGGGAGCTGGATCCGGGACTAACCTGTGCCCAAATGGGATGTTAGCTTTGCTGATGGCAGTTTAACTACCTGCACCAGCCTCTCCCTCTCCTTAGCTTTTTCTCTGTGCGCTCAGCCCTGAGAGCTCCACACAGATGAGCTGCCTGCCCACACTGCAATCCCTATGGAGGCCCATTGTGCTGATAGTGACGCGTGGTCAAACTGGGAAGCCAGGTGAAATCCAAGCCTGTCTGGCAGGAATCAGGAGATAAGATTAAAAATAAAAAATCCTGGAGGCCCACAGTTCTGTTGCCGTGGTAACAGGTGACTACCTAAACTAGTTCTAAATCCAGAATGAAGGACTCACCACTACAGCAGTCTGCCCTGGGAGAACCAGCCAATCAGCAGCTGTCTTACTCCAATAGCCTCACCTTTGTCCATCCCTGCCAGCCAGGCTCCCAGGCCAGGGGAGGGCAGTGCTGCCACCTTGCTTTGAGGCTGTTGGCCAACCATCTCCAGCATTGGTGTGGGGCCGAGCTACAGGGCTATGCACCCCATGCCATGTGGGTTAAGGGGATCCTGGGGTCCCTGCAGACCCCCACCCTCAGCAGAACCCTCTTACTAATGGAGTTTTCGGAATCCACTGACTTGGCTGTTGCCGGAAATGGGGATGGGAGGTGGGGGAGTGAACCAGTGGATGAGAACATGGTCTCTGCCTTCAATAAAATAAATGTTTTTAAAAGTAATCATCTTTAGATTACTGGTGACATTTAATAGTTCTCACACTGCCATGCTAGGGAATGGCAGAAGTCTGCACATGTTCAGGACAGATAGCATTAAAGTGGATTTTCCAACCACAGTGGCTTACACCCCTAGATGTGGAAGATGTGGAATCTAGACAGGGAGGCTGGCTGGTGTTCTGCCCCCGCCGACGCTGGACAGGGAGGGTGGACGCGAGAACCCCATCCAGGGAGCGGCTGCAAATTAAACCTTTGTGCTAGTTTCCTTTGCTGCTTCAGGCAACTGCTCTGAACTTTAGTGGCTTGGGACAGCAGCCATTTACGGACTTAGAGATTCTCTGGGAGCTGCTTCTGGGGGGCCCAGCTTATGTGGTTGGCAACAGGCAACAGGTGGAAGGGCTCTGGGACAGCCAGAGTGGCTTGCTGTTAGCCAGGACAAGGGAGGAACCATCTCGTCACGAAGCAGTCCCACCGTCCCAGCAGCCTGCAGGCAGATGCTGCCAGGTCCTGGCTTGGAACTGGCACAGGCTCCCTCAGGTCTCGCTTGAATTTCTGGCTCTGGGCTCCCACTGTGGGTGTTTAGGAAGGAACCAGGCGATACAAGCATGATTTCCATCTCAATTTTTTTTTAAACAAAATTAAAAAACAAACTTGTTGGGCCCAGTGTGATAGCACAGAGATTAAAGTCCTCACCTTGAATGCACCGGGATCCCATATGGGCGCCGGTTCTAATCCCAGCAGCCCTGCTTCCCATCCAGCTCCCTGCTTGTGACCTGGGAAAGCAGTTGAGGACTGCCCAAAGCCTTGGGACCCTGCACCCGCATGGGAGGCCAGGAAGAGCTCCTGGCTTTGGATTGGCTCGGCTCCAGCTGCTGCAGCCGCTTGGAGAGTGAACCATAGGTTGGAAGATCTTCCTCTCTGTCTCTCCTCCTCTCTGTATATCTGCCTTTCCAATAAAAATAAATAAATCTTTTTTAAAAAATTCTGGGGAAACACCCAAGAGAGCTAGAAGAACGGATTTGAAAAAATGTTTGTGCACCCTCATTTGGAGCAGCAGCATCCACACCAGCCAGCTGCCCATTCGCGAGGGGACCTGGCAGGGAAGGCAGAATGGGCACGCACACACAGGCCCATCACTCGGCTTCAGGCACTTCTGACGCAGGCTGCTACGACATAAATGAACTTGGAAGTCAACTACAGAAAGACAAACGACATGGCATCTCAGTGACACAGGCCTCTATTGGACTGTCACATGGACCAGCAGGTAGCATCTATGGACAGCTTGGAGTGCTGGAAGCACAGGGGTGTGTGGCTAGGAGGCAACACGATGACAGAAGAGCCACTGCACCTGTAAGGCCCTGTGGCCACCAGAGGCCCTAGGCAAGCTTCAGGGGTCCCCCAGGGGCGACAGCTGTTGCCCTCATGCCAGGTTGCTGGAGCCCACACCTCAGACACCATGCCTGAGCAGGGCGGGGGCAGGCTCCCCTGCAGCAGACCACGCACCCCCACCCCGAGACACCCCGGACACCGTACGTGGGCGCTGATTTCTTTATTGAGTACAGAGGGGTACAGAGATGATGCATGTTTGTGCTTCAGTACTTCCAAACACGGAGAACCTGGTGATAATCCCAAGGTCAACGAGTTTCAAGACAGACCAGCTTTTTCTTTTTTTTAAAATATCCTTTTGATAAATTATTTTATATATAAACAACAGAGGAAAGGAAAACTGACACGTTCGACTGACGAGGTCCTGAAGCAAGAGCATCGCACGGCCGAGGCCAGCAGTGATGGTAGGAGACGAGCCAACGCGAGCACCTATGGTGCTGGCCTGGAAGAGGAGGGTTCTGGGGCAGCAGGGGACGGGCCTGGAAACTGATCCTAGCAGCGCACATGGCAGTGGCGGGGATGCACCGACGGGCAGACAGGGCACGTTCTGAGGCAGTTGGGGGCAGGCTGTGCCGCACTGGCACACACACCACGTGGCAACGACATCACGAGACGGGAATATACACAGTCCACGGGGCTGAGGAGCTGCTGGGGGCAGGGCTGGGGACGTTTTTTTTGTGACTTCTACTGTCATTCTATTGCACATCAGCAGCCAAACACTGCGCGTGCTGGCTCTGGGGGAGCGGAGAGGAGTCCCGAGGGTGACGAGTCAGCCCTCCAGCAGCTTGCTGCTTCTTGAAGTCTCACTTGGGAGCTACGTGTATACACAGGGAACAAACTGATCGTTTTCTCTCACAAGCATAATGACCACAACCCCACATTGCAAAGGATCAAAGCACTACAGAACATCTGACACGGCGGATGCTGTCACAGCTGCTTGCTGAGTAGGTACAGGGCCTGGACCAATCCAATGGCTACTTTCAGGCCAAGAGCCCTTTCCCCCAGCAAAGGGCTCTCTGACCGCAGCCTCAGCACCCACCTGCTCTCATCTCCCCACGCTGATGCTTCTATGGAAAGGAGTGAGGGGATGCAGGGGGAGGAAGGAAGGGCTCTGGGTTGATGGCATGAGGCCAGGTGCTTCTTCTCTGGGGGAGACCAAGGTCCCTGGTGCGAGTTTGCTTTCAGCTTGTCTGGGCACCACGACTTGGACTGCAGCAGGATGCCCTTAGGACCACACCTGGTGGACATAAGCTGGGGGTGGGGACAGGATGCCAGCTGGAACCCATCCTGGCTTTGTACAGCTGCCCCAGCCTCCACCCTCAGCAGAACCACTGGGGGCCCCCAAGCTGCAGGGGAAAGCCCAGAGGGCCACCTCCTGGCCCATCAGGAGCAGGGTGGGCACCAGAGGGAAGGTCACAGATGCCTCCTCAGTGAGAAGACTCTGAGAACACAGACAGCTCCAGGAGGCTCAGTGAACATGGGCATAACCAAATACGAGTTTGCAAGAACACGCAAGCTGCTCCCTTTCCATACTCAATCTGCACGTGTCAGGTCGGGTTATGTACAAGGTCATAGGGTCACAGACCATGGCAGGGAGGTGGAGGGGGGCAGGCGTCCACTCATTCCCAGCAGCTCCGAGGACTCTGCAGCGCACGGCTTGCACGTGAACTTGTCCTTGTAGAGGACACATAGGTAGGATACTCTTTTTAAAACAACAAAAACAAAACCCAAAAAACCACAATGCATAATTTCTTTTGTCTCAAACAAGGAGAGGGCGTCATTAAACACAAGAACGCAGCGGCCACGGGGCCGGCCAGGGCGTGCAGAAAGCGAGGAGGCAACGGACGGGCGTGGGGTTCAGCAAAGTAACCGATGCGGTTGGCGCCGCAGGGGGGACGCAGGGCATTGTGGGAGGGGGTCTTGTTGTGAGGGGTGGCTGGGTATTTTTTTTTTTAACTGCTAATTTCTTCATCTGTTTTGTTCAGCTTCTTCAGGGTGTCCAGCAGCTTCTGTGGGGTGAGGATGTGCGTGGATCCTGGGGTGGGGGGAGAACGCCATGAGTAACTTCAGGATACAGATTCTCCTCTCCCTGCTCCTCACGCCCCACCCGGGTCGGGGCCCAGTGGAGGGGGTCAGGGGGCTAGGGACGGGAGAGTCTGGGGCCTCCACGTCTGGGAGTGCTCCCGCGGGGCCCACTGCTGGCTGCCAAGGTGGCTGCACAGGGGTCAGGTTGGTAGGCAACTTGTGTGCCCAGTAGGGGGTAAGTCGAAGGGCCAAGCCCCGGGATCCGCGATGCCCTGGTGGGGGGGGGTTGGGGGGACCTCAGGCATGACGGGGAAGGGCAGGGACCTGAGGCCTTACCTTGCAGAGACCGCACATTCTAAGAGATTAGAAATGCTTGCAAAAATTTAAGCTAATGGAATTAAATAGAATTCTACTGCAAAAATAAACACAAAATATAGAACATAAAAATAAATGGAGGCTATTTTTTTTCTTGCAAGGGGAGAGAGATCTAATTAAAGTGCAGTAAACAAGATGCATGGATCGTGTGGTTCGGACATGGACTTGAAAAGAATGGTGATGCGTAGCTTTGGAGCATGAGGCCTGCACGCATGCAGTGGTGGGTGTCAAAGAAAGATCCTGGTGGGAGAGGGTAGAACCGAACAAAAAGAGCCAGCTTGAAAATGTGCCTCCTTGGAGACCCAAGCAAGGGTGGGGACAGAACTCTCTGAAGGCCAGGCTGCCTGCACAAGGGCAGGCCAGAGAAGGCTGTGGCTGGCTTCTGGGGCAATGTTCCTCCACCAGGGGCAAGGGCCTCTGATCACTCCTTACGCAGCTGGCTTGGGTCTTTCCTGGTCAGTCCAGCCCAGCAGAGAACTGTAATACCCTCTCCATGGGTGGGGGGAGCACCCTGGCTTTCTTCAGTTGAAGCCCCAGCATCCAGTCTCTGCTCCAAGATGAGCCAGTCCTCGGGCAACTCCTGGAGGTGCCTAGCATGATGCCTGCCCGACCCTGGTGCCCCACCGCTCACTTGCCCTGGGGCAGCTGCCATGCTGGTTTTGTGGGTCTGTCCCTATGGATTTGTCTTTCCCCTGAAGCATGCTCATAGCAACCTTCCTGCTAGCCCTACAGGAGAGGCTCCAGGTCTGCTGGGCACAGGAGGGCAAGGGCCTCCACACTCCAAGCAGGCCTCGCTGGCTGAGGACTTGCGCCAGCCAGATGGGGGCTGGTGGCACTGCTGTGGGGCCAGGGGCAGGCAGCCTGTGCTGGTGGGATGGCGGCAGGAGTCAATCCAGGCCTTCCTAGGTAGGGGCGGGAAGCAGCCCCCACTGCCCAGCTTGCCAATCCTGCAGAGGAGTCCTGAGCAACAGGTGGCAGACTGGGTCCCAAGCGCTGACCAACAGCTGGCCCCACGTCACTCACATGTGGATTCGGGACTGAGAGGAGGTGGAGTGGGTCCACACCGGGGCTCTCCAGCTGTTATCTGCTTCCTGCCCACCTGCTGTCCCTGGTCACGACTGGAGAACAGGGTGGAGGGCTACAATCCACCTGCCCTGCTTGTCCCAAGGTGGGAGGCACGAAGACCAGAATATGGGGACTTGCTCAGGGTGGGCAGAGGATACAGCCGGGCTTGTGGTCAGGGCTCTGGTCTCCTAATTCTGGTGCCCTGGGGCCTCCTGGGATGTGTTTGCACACATATAGGACACTTGCAGAGTGGCTGAGTGCCATCAGCTCTGGATTCAAATGTTGCTGTGTCCTGCTGAGAAATGAAACTTCGCTGATCCTACTCCAGAAAGCAGCAGAGCATTCCATATAAAAGGCAAATGGCATGTATAACCTCAAAGGCATGTGTAACCTCCTGATGCCTCTCGGTGCTGCCATTTGCCCCTGACTGCCACAGGGACATTCCCAACCAAATTGGAAGGCTGCCAGGGCTGGTTAGCCGGGACTCTGGCAAGGTCCCCTGCTGCTGGCTAAAGCAATGAGGACCCAGCAGCCTTGGCAGAATACTGTGCGACTCAAGGCTGCACAGCGGATTCCATCCGCATTCCCTGCTCTGCCCGTGGCTGAGCCCCGCTCTGCACTGATCAGGAATGACACACAGGGAAGAGTCTGCAGCGGGGCTCCAGGCCAGGCCGTCCCACTAGCGCTGCCCAGAGCACAGGCTCTTTGGGATTTGGTCTGTAACTCTGAAGTCTTATAAGTAACCCACTGATATCTGTCCTTCTAAGAGTCTTAAAACGGGTCATCATGGCAATTCAACAGGCTAATCCTCCTCCCTGTGGTGCTGGCATTCCATTTAGGCACCAGTTCATGTTGCAGCTGCTCCATTTCCCATCAATTCCATCCAGCTCCTGCTGCGGCCTGGGAAAGCCTAGTACCTACGGACCCTGCACCTGCATGAGAGACCTGGAGGAAGCTCCTGGCTCCTGATCAGCTCAACTCTGGCCACTTGGCCATTTGGGGAGTGAACCAGTAGATGGGAAACATTCTCTATTTCTGCTTCTCTAAATCTACCTTCCAAATAAAACAATAAATAAATCTTAGAAAACAAAGTCTTAAACTATGAGGGTACTACAGGAAGCTCAACGGAGAACAGACAGCAAGACAGGTTTACTTTGGTAAAAAATGCATGCATACGAGGAGTCATCAGAGCATTCAGGCGGTGCGGCTGTGGCTGTGGCATACCGAGCTGAGCTGCTGCTGGCATCCCATGTCAGAGTGCAAACTCAAGCTCCTGTGGATGTGCCTGGGAAAGCAGCGGATGACTGCCTTCGTTCCTAGGTCCCTGTCATCCATGTAGGAGACCCCAAAGGAGTTCCTGGCTCGTGGCTTTGTCCTGGTCCTCTTCTGGCTAATGTTGCTATTTGGGAAGTGAACCAGTGGATGAAAGTTCTTTTTCTCTGTCTCTTTCCATCATTCTGCCTTTCACATAAATACATAAACTTTTTTTAAAAAGTCATAAAAAAACTGCATTATGAAAAATTTGGCGTGGACTTGAAAGCCATTCTTGTATCTTCCTTTTAGGACTGGTGTTATGGTGTGGTGGATTAAGCTGCTGCCTGTGGTGCCAGCATCCTACGCTGAAGTGCTGCATTGAGTCCTGGCTGCTCTGCTCCTAACCTTGTTAACATTAGAGACCCAAGCGTCTGGACCCCTGACATCCCCATGGGAGCTGTGGATGGAGTTCCTAGCTCCTGGCTTTGGTGGCTATTGCAGCCCTCTGGGAAGTGAACCAGCAAATGGAAGAGCTCTGTCACTTTTTTTTTTTCTTTAAAGAAGATAATAAGCAGGCTTCCGAGGGGCTGTCCCCCAGGGGTTCATCAGAGCCCACAGGTGCCGTCTGAGGCACCAAGAGAGTCATGGAGGCTGTCAGAGCTACAGGGAACCCCAGAACTGGCGACCCTGCCTCCCTGTACTTGTGTGTTGTGGCCGGAGGTAGTGTTGGGGGGTGCAGTCACGCAGGTGCTCCCTGAGGAGCAGGGCCAGAGTGATGGTCTCTGCTCGGCTCACAGGTGGCTGCTGGGGCCACGGGTCAGCCAGGCCTGGGGGTAGGGATGTGCTCTATGTCCATGGCTCACAGCACTCCCAGCCTGGGACACAGCAAGCAGCTGTGTCACAGAACCAGCGTGTCGGTGGCTTCGGCCGTTTAAAGGTCTCCCAGGGGGCTCCCGGCGTGGAGGGCAAGAGGGAGGAAGGTTCCCAAGAGTAGTGTGGATGGTGAGTGGATGGACCACAGGGTCAGGCCCCATGTCTGGCAGAAGGGAAGATGCTTCTGGCAGCACACAGAACACATGGGGTGTGAGGAAGCGATTTTTCCTAGGGCTTCTGACCTTCTCAAAAGCTTTTGGGATGTTGGGGGTTGAGCCTCCTTCACTGCTGCAGGGACCCGCAGGAGAATGACAAGAAAGGTGGCAGCTGGAGAGCAAACCCCTGCCACCTGCTGCCTCCAGCACAGGCTGACCACTCTACAGGGACCTGGCGGCTTGCGGCCACTCATCCGGAGGAGCTGTTCCTTGTACTCACTCACCTGACTACTGGGGTCTTGTCACCAAGCCTCCCCTGCCCCCAACCAGGCGTCTGGGTACCTTCCCCAGAAAGCTGCCTTCTTGGACATGGCCTTCCCTGACCGTGTCACCTGAAGCTCCTGGCCCAGATCCCAGCCAGGACACTCTGTATTCACTGCGGATGCCCACCCATTCACCATGGGCCAGCACTATGTCCCAGCATTCCTCTCTGAGGACCGGGCCTGGCAGCTGACTGAGTGGCATGCAGCCCAGGGCAGGAGTGAGCTGGCACGTTGGAGCCCGGGGTGGAATAAGGCAGAGTTCAGGGTAGGGCTAGGAAGGTGGCATTGGACACATTTTCAATCGGTATTAAGAACTGCAAGCATTTTCTTGTTAAAGAAAATCAAATAAATCGTGAACTCAAAAAGAAAAGAAAGAAAGAAAGAAAAAGTGACGAATAACCAAAGAAAACCCTTCGGAGCGGGAAGAGTTTCCTTTCTGGAATAAGCTGCTTTTACTTTGTTTCTTTGGCTCTCACTCCATTGTTGGAGCCTGATCCTCAAAAGATACCCTAGAGGACTCCCTGAAGTCGGGGTGTCTCAGGTCCGTGAGAAATTTGGTGGGAGTGAGAATGTGAGTAGAACCTGTGGGAGAACAGAGGCCAGCTGACTGCCTGAGCACAGGCACGGGGCAGGCGCATGCCAACTCAGGCCTACGGTGTGTGCAGCTGATGGGGCACGAGAAAGCGACAGACACACACACTCGCGCACACGCACACACAGGCAGGGAAGCGGCTGGCATGCACGAAGCAGGGGAAGCCACACAGTGGACGTCAGCTGCGCCAGGCCCCTCTGTGAGCCTGTGCGTTCCAGCTCCTGACGGGTGGCCTTGGAGCAGATCTGCAGTGGGCAGGGAGAGGACACTCCCCTCCCCAGAGCCTGACTGCCCTGCCAGTTTCTGTCCAGGAAAGCTGTGTTTGAGCTCAGAGGGCCTCGGCGCACACATGCGACACAAATGCAAGCTGGGGACGGAGAGTTTGGCCACGGAGGGGCCTACATGATGAAAGGGAAGAGGCAACCTACAGGGAGGGCAGTGGGGGGAACTGGGGTGGGCATGGTCTCTCCAGTGGCTCATGGGTCTGGAAAGGCAGCGGACAACCCCAAGGCCAGCTTGGTAACCCACAAGCAGTGACCTGGACTGCTGCACAGAGCTCGCCTATCTGGGTGGCTTCTGGGGGCCCTCGATTTGTTCCCCCTAGATCAGGGTTATAAACTGATAAGTCTCATAGAGACAGCCACTGAGTGAGGAACTAGGACAGGTAGTGGGCCAATGGGGCACGAGGTCAGAGGGGCCAGCCCTGTGGCAGTTCAGGAGGGCAGCCTTAGGCCTTGGGTAGGGGTGCGGCCCACAACTCCTTCCAAAAAGAGACCAAGCACCCTGGCCTGATACCTGGAGGGCAGTGCAGCTGGGGTCCTCCTGCTAGTCAGTGTCTGGATGGACCCTGGGGCAGGTGCCCTCTACCCGTGCTAAGGGCAAGCTGGGACAAGGCAGGTACGAGGAGGAGGGGGCCCTCTCCCAGCTCCTGCTTCCTCCCAGGCCTGTGGGGCAGGCAATCTCTGGCTGCCTTCACCGTTCCTATGAGCTGCTTACTCTCTGCCGGAAAAGGTGAAACAGTTGGGGGAACCCTAAACAGAGTCCAGCAGTAAGGCTGCCACACACTGCCCATCCATCCCAGCCGACAGGAAGAGACCCGGAGCAATGACTTCCTGTCACTGAGTCTCTGCTGCCAGGAAGCCCTGGGCCTGGAAACTGGCTGGTCTCATTGTGGGCCTGGTCTACAGGCTCTTAGCTGACAACTCCATTTTGTCCAGTGGGGATGTGGTTGCCTGCATAGGCTGAGTCACCTGCTTGAGGGAACCCCCCACTTGCAAACGGCAACGGGCACGTTTGGCTGGTGGTTGGGGAAGGGTTCTGCTGGACTCTGTCTTTGGGCCCTTCCACTTCATAAGGCCATCTCTCAGCCAGAGAACCAGGCAGGGCAGGCGCGAGGGAGGCACCCCCCCTGGCCCTCGGCCTCTGTCGGCTACAGCTGGTTCTCCGGGACAAAGAGGCTCTGACGGGCTGCAACACGGAAGCGTGGAATGGAGTCCGGGTGCGGAGAGGGAGCCCTTTGCCCCGGAAGACACGCCCTTACTCACCTATCAGCACCTCCCACTTCCCATTGGCTTGAGTCACCTCGTAAGCACAGCGCATCTCATTCAGGCTCACACCCCCAAGGATGAAAATAATGAGGCGGGGGCCACTGCGGTACTCCCCTGGGGCCTTGTTCTTGTGCCAGTGTCCATAGCGGGCACTGCAAAGAGAGGGAGAGATGGAAGGCAGAGATCGTTTGATCAAGTACGTCTGTCCACACTTAGAGCTAGCTGGTTTGCTCCCATGTTCCCACTGCCCGACCGTGCCCAGAACAGACACACTGGTGTCTCCTGAGTGCTGGTTGCCAGGCGGTTTATAAGTAGGTAGGCTGGGCCTGGCGGCGTGGCCTAGCGGCTAAAGTCCTCGCCTTGAACACACCGGGATCCCATATGAGCGCCGCTTTAATCCCGGCAGCTCCACTTCCCATCCAGCTCCCTGCTTGTGGCCTGGGAAAGCAGTCAAGGACGGCCCAAAGCTTTGGGACCCTGCATCCGTGTGGGATACCTAGAAGAAGCTCCTGGATCCTGGCTTTGGATCGGCATAGCATCGGCCGTTGCTCTCACTTGGGGAGTGAATCATCGGACGGAAGATCTTCCTCTCTGTCTCTCCTCCTCTCTGTATATCTGACTTTCCAATAAATAAATCTTTAAAAAAAAAAGTAGGTAGGCTGCCAGCAGGAGGGGCACTCTGGGTGCCTGGACTGTGGGCCTGTCATCGCCTTCTAGGGATGCACAGGCACTGCTTGTTTAGGTCACTGTCTGGACACTGCTGGCAGCTGGCAGTGGGGACAGGGTCTGAGGTCTGAGCTGAGACTGGCACTGTGATCCTCTGAGCAGGTGGGTAGCACCAGCCTGCTCTGTATTCCCACGGAGGCCTTGCCCACCTCCAGGCTACCACCCAGCAGGGTGCAGAAGTGGAGACAGAGCAGCCAGTCTGAACTGGGCTACCAGGGAGGGCAGAGCTCCAGGCCGTGGGGGTCAGGCTGAGGGGAGGCCATGGGAGGCTGGGAGCCACCACGGAGCCAGGGAATGATGGCACCATAAGGCTGGGAAGCTCCTGGAGGAAGAGAGGGGGCCGGTCTCATGCGGGCACTGAACACTGTGCCCATCCTTGGGCTGCAGCCCCTGCCTGCGGGGGTCTCCGTCTACCTGACAGCAGTGGTGCTGAAGGAGGCCGAGGAGCGAGTGGAGATGTAAGGGTAGTGCTTGGTATCAAGTTTGTCCTCGATGGTGTCCTAGAAAGAGACGCAAGACAGATGAGCCAGCTGTTGGACAGGGGTTCCCAGGAACCCAGGCAAGGGAAGAGGTGGGCAAAAGGCATGGCCCGGTTTGCAGCAGTCACAGGAGCCCCCCTGCCTGTGTGCGCGGCCACAGGCTCACACCGCGCTCACCCTGGCATGTTTCATACCTCGCTGCTGCACTTCAGAAGTCGGTGCAACTGCTCTTTTACACTGAAGAGCATCTTTTCCAGCTCATTCTCTTCTATCATCTAGGTGAAGTCCTAAGTGGTCCCCAATCCTCCCAAACCCCTGGCATCTGCCAACCAGAGGGCAGCAGGCACAGGCAGAGAGTGCCTCCCACCAGCATGCCTCGCCCCTCCATTTCCCAGGGGTCTAATTATCTGGTGTGGGAATTCTGCCTCTCCTCCCACTGCTAGGAGAGCCACACGCCTCCTAACAGCTGTGTTTCTTTAGGGGATGGGGAGGAGGTGGAGAGATCAAAAGCAGGAATGAGACAGGGAGACTGGCTTTGTCTGTGGCACCAAGCCACACAATGCAATTGGGGCTGCATAAAGCTGCTACCTGTGATGCTGGCATCCCCTATGGGTGCCAGCTGGAGACCCAGCTGCTCCAGTCCTGCTGATACACCTGGGAAAACAGAAGGTGATGGCCCAAGTGTCTGCACCCCTATCATCTATGTGGGAGAACTAGGAAAAGCACCAGCTTTTTGCCAGTGGGGCCATCTGGGGGAGTGAGCCAGCAGATGGAAGATCTCTCCACCCTCTGTTTCTTCCTCTGTATAACCCATACTTTCTAAGAAATAAAAAGAAATGCAACTTGTCTCTAGTTGCTTCATGCCCAGCCATCCTATTGATTCATGGGTTTTAAAAAGGGAAGCTAGTTATTCCACATATGTAAAATGCTGGTTCGACAGGAACACCTGGGCTAGTCCCTCCGCTCCTGGACTGCAGTTCTAGCCACTTGCCTAGCATGGCACTCGGACACAGCCTGAGCCCAATCCCAAAGCTCTTGCAGTGAAGGACTCCGTGTCAAGTTCCCTCCCTTTGTGAGAAAGGAGGACACCATAGGGCACTGCCACACCCGCCATCTGACGCATCCTCACATGTGTGAGGCTCTGTGGCAGCCAAGGGGACAGGGATGGAAAGACAACCCTAGTTGCTGAGCCACACACACGTACATCAGGACTCAGAGGAGCCTCCATGGGGTGGGTGGTGAGACAGGTGCGACAGAGGACCTGCCATGTCCAGTCTGGGTGTGCTCTGTGCTATGCCGCCACACATCCTGACGAAAAAACCCTCAGGGGAAGAACCCACAGGTGTCCCCACCACCAGAGGCACCTGGGTGCCCAGGGATGAGCCCTGGGCCTGGCTGCCCTTGCCTCAGCCCGTCCCCACTGACCTCCATGATGTCTTTAATAATCGGGGTCCATCGCGAGAGCTGGTAGGTCTGCTCACTGATGCGCTCCTTCCGCTCTGGCTTGCTCCTGCGACGCAGCGTCGACTGTGTGCAAACACACACAAGGTAAGACTCTGCTCAGGGCCACCTGGGCCCCTGCTGCTGCCTCCGGGGATTCTCACGAGGACCTTGGCCCAGGTTGGCGAGTGGCTAGAGTAAAAGGGGAGCAGGGACGGTGGCTTCTGACACATCCCAGAACCGCCCCTCCATTTAGGAACCTGGGGCAGACTTGATTCAAATCATGAAAAACAGCGAGAAAAGCAATACAGTTCTCTTTTAAAACCAAACCAAACCAAACCAAACCAAACCAAACCAAACCAAACCAAACCGAGTAGCTGGCTGGCTGCGACAGGGGAAAATACTACTTTAGTGATAGCTTGCTGGTTGATTTCCTTTCCACAGCACAGGCAGAGTGACTCCTCGTGGCCACCACCTTGAATCCCCCAGTGACCACAGCCCTGGTGAACACACCAGTTACAGGCCTACAGCAGGTGGCAGGGGGAGTCCACGTGCAGCTGACGCTGTGCGCCATGCCCTGCCCATGGACAGCAGCCCATGGCTCGCAGCAGAGTACGTTGTGTGGTCTGCTGTCCTAACTTGGTCCTGAAGAAGGTCCATGCAGCAGGCTCGGGGGTGGTCAACCCACCTGCTCCAATAGGTCCCGGGGGCTGTAGGGGGAGTGCTGACTGAGATGTCCAAAGCCAGACCGACCTCAGCTGGGACGGCTGCAACTGAGGTGACCCCTGTCTTACTTTGCTTTAGAGGAGCAGCTCAGTATGACTGTGACACTGCAAAGGGGACATCTAGGTTCCTAACACACCCCGATGTGTGCCTGGACCCCCTGATTTCCGCTGCCCTTTCTTCCTCAGTGTTGAGTTGTGCGCATGTGTGCTGGCCCATTAATGCAGGAGCAGGTAGTGCACGTAGCCCACCCTCCCCACCCACAAAGCCAGCCTTACGTCGGTGACAATGGGCACGCCCAGGTGCGCCATGTTGGTGATGATCTCGCTGTCCTCTGGGGGGATCTGGGCATGCTGGATCAGCTTGTTCAGGTTCTCCTCTGTGATGCCTGTGTACGGGAGTCACCTGGTCACTACACCCACCCCAGGCCATAGCTGCTGTGTAAGCAGAGCTGGCCACTTCGCTTCTCCCTCACAGTCAGTGGATGTAATCCACTGTGTGTACTGTGTCAAATTGACTGTGAGGATAAAACAAGGGCTCCAGTTCTTTTTAAAAATGTGGTAAAGCTAAAAATACTTAGTAAAGGGGAGCTGTAGTGGACTGGCCAAGAAGCCCATGGGCGACCCGTTCTCGGCCCTGGCCCAGCACCTTCCATGGGCTTCATCATGCTTATAGGCTCCAGTCTGCCCTGGGAGCCTTATCTTCCAACCCCTCACATCTCTTAGACAGCTTCTCCACTAGCCTTCCTCTCAGTTGTCTCATCTGCCCCTCTCCCACCCTCTCCCATTTCCCAGCCTCCCTTCCTCTCCCCCCCTCACACTACCATTCTTCAGGAAGATGTAGAGGAGGATGATACGGATTTTGTCATAGGTGCTGACGTTGGCATCCAGCAGGATGGGCACGATGGCTCTCATGGGGTCCTTAATCTTTTCTCCCTCGGCATCTGTCCCCATCGCCAGGTCCTGCAGAGAACACATACCTGTTGGGCCCACTTCGGGCAACAGTGGTTCTAATAAAACTCATGCTTGACAGCGGGGACGCCGTTTCATGTCTCTCACGGCACAGGGTGGTTGGCATGGGCACTGGCAGCTCCACTTCCTGCGACATCACTGAGGACAGAGATTCTCCAGCCCGAAACCCCAGGGAGCTGCCACCTGGGTGCAGGCAGGCTACTCCCTGCAGGTGTGTGTCTGTGCACCTGTGCCCACTCCTCAGGTAGACCCAGACTAATAGTCCCCTGGAGGTACAAGGCCACGCGGAGGGGACCCACTTTGCTCCCACGAAAAGCTCCAGCATCTTAAAAGTGCCTTTGTGCAGCTAGATTCATTCCCCGCTGCTTCCCCTGACACAAACAGCCCTGATAATTTAGCCTTAAGTATTCCTGGGCTTCAATTACTGCCTATAGCACTGGTATCCCACATGGGAAGCTGTTCCAGTCCTGGGTGCTCCACTTCTGATCCAGCTCCCTGCTAATGAAAAGCAGTGGAGGATGATCAAATCCTTAGGCACCTACACTCACGTGAGAGACCTGAAAGACACTCCAGGATCTAGCATGGTAGCTTAGTGGCAAAGGCCCTTGTCTGGCACACACCAGGATCCCGTATGGGTGCCAGTTCGTGTCCCAGCAGCCCTGCTTTTCATCCAGCTCCCTGCTTGTGGCCTGGGAAACCAGTTGAGGACAGTCCAAAGCTTTGGGAACCTGCACCTGCGTGGGAGACCCGGAAGAGGATCTGGGCTCCTGGCTTCTGATCAGCTCAGCTCTGACCGTTGAGGCCACTTAGTGAGTGAATCAGTGGATAGAAGATCTTCCTCTCTGTCTCTCCTCTTCTTTTTATGTCTGGCTTTCCAATAAAAAGAAATGAATCTTTAAAATAAAAAGAAAAGGAAAGAAACTCCAGTTCTTGGTTTCAGACTGGGTCATCTCTGGCCATTGGGGAGTGAAGCAATGGACTGATTTTTCTCTCTCTGTTTTTCCTTTTCTTTGTGTGTAACTCTCTGCTTTCCAAACAAGTAAATGCATCTTTTCTTTTTTTGTAAAGGACGCTGACTCACACGTTAGTATGTCATCAGACTTTAAAGACGGAGGGCCAGGAAGAGAGATTCCAGAGAACATCACTGAAAAATGAACTGGCAATGCACAAAAGCAGTGAGAGAAATAAAACAGAGGGTGCACACATCAGGGACAGAACGTCAATCCTGAACTTCCAGCTTCCGGTGCTGAGTGGGACCCAGGCTCGGGGACAGTGTGTGACCTGCCAGGTCCTACCTTGCCCAGGACCCCTGAATCTGCACAGCTGCTTTGGCCACAGCTGGAGAACACACTCAGGACCCACAATTCTGCCAGTCCCATCGGCAGGAGCTCAGAACTTCTCACAGCCCTCTCTAATCACCCCTGGGCTGCCAGAGACTTGGCAAAGGTCAGGTGTGCACAACCCTGCCTGGGCAGCGTTCACATCCATCTTGTTTTTTCACACCCAAGTGGAGCCACACAGGATGTGACTGGGCAGAACGGTCAAGGTCAAATGTTAGAATGTGACTGCAGGTAGAGGGATGGTGGGTGGTTTGGCAGAGAATGTTACACTTGGAATGCCCACATTTGAGTGCCAATTTGTGGCCCAGCATCTCCACTTCCCAGTATCCCTGGAGGCAGCAGACGAGTGTGCATGCCAGGGCTCACGTGGGCAATCTGGATGCAGTTCTGGGCTGGTAGTTTCAGCCCAGCCCAGCTACAGTGACACAGGAGGCATCTGGGGAATGAACCAGCAGATGGAAGGTGTCTCTGTATCTGCTGGTCTTTCAAACAGACGAAAATCAAGAAGCTAAGCTCACGTTAAGACAAAGGTGACAGGTGGATGGGCTCGGCAGATGGCCAGCTGCAGCGGGGCAAGGTGAGAGCCCTACCTGCTCCACTCGGCAGAGCTTGTCCACGGTGCCTTGGTAATGCTTCATGCAGTCCTCGGCCAGGTGCAGGTGGGTCGAATACTAGGGGCAAGTGCAACAGAAGCGGTGATCAAGGAATTACTCACTGACTCACACAACACCCATGAGTACACACTAGACACGCAATACCGTGCCAGGGCGCTGAGCAGTCCATGGGCCAGGGAAGTGACCGCACGTGTGCAAGCAGGCACACATGCATGCCAAAGGAGCAAGCTGCCCGTCTCAGGAGGAAAGGCCACAGCACAATCTCAAAGAACCCAGAGGAAGGAGAAAGACTTTGCTAGGGTGGGCTGGGCTCGGTGCTTTGTCTCACAAAGCAGTGGTGGGGAGGGGAGCCACGTGAGGAGCAGGACATGACACCAGCGCCCCTTTTGGGCCTTTCTCCCAGCCCACTGGCTCTGGAGAAGCCCATGGTAGTGCTCTGATCCCGGTGGCTCTGCAGTGAGCCCCCAAATCACCCGCCACACCCCGAGCCCCAACAGCAGGGGGATAGGATGTGAGATAGGATGGTGAGTGGGTGGAAGAAAGGAAGTGAGGGGAAAGTAGCTGCCTAGGCCAGACTGTCACGGTTTTTCTTTCCTAGTAAGAACTCGAGAGAGGACTACAGAGTGGGGGTGGGGAGCTCCCACGACTCGGCAGAAGCAGCGAGCTGGCGGCCCCCGCTGCCATGCGCTCGTCACCAGACCTTGCTCAGTTCCTTCTGGTACTGGGGCATCTTCTTCAGCATCTGTGACAGGTCCCGCATGGTGGTCTGTGGGGAAATGAAATTACAGTGTCACCCCAAGGTCCGGACAAGGCCGTCCTGGGGACGTGCTCTGCTGGTCAACATGCATCGATAAAATGCTAGGTCACATGTGTTTAGAATTCTAGGACTCTATCTCAAAAAAAAAAAAATCCATCCACCTCAGTACTATGATCTTCCAGCTGGGGAACTGAGCTCATGGCCTAGAACATGACTCTTGCTGCCCCCTGCCTGGCTCTGGCGGCCTCAGTGCTGAGTCTGCCTATCATAGGCACAGAGCAGCTCTAGATGGCAGGAGGCCAGAAGGTTACAGAAGGCTGGAAGCTGCGGCCTGACAAGTCAGCTGCGTGTGCTGTCTTCCTGTGATCATCTAACCTACACTCTTATCCAACAACAACAACAAATCACTAAATGACTACTACACAGCAACAAAAAGTAAATTTCTGGAACCATGTTGTGACACTGAGTTAAGCTGCTACCAGCAACGTTGGCAGCGCTTACAAGCACAGTTTGAATCCTGGCTGCTCTGCTTCTGATCCAGTTTCCTGCTAGAACACCTGGGCAAGAAGCCGAAAATGCTGCCCCAGGCCCAGGAAGGCCTGTCTGTGGGTGGGCCTGATGCTGAGTGGTCAGTGACAAGGTCAGGGATGAAAGGAGGCCCTGCTAAGTCGGGTTCTGAATTCTAATTCTGGTACAAGCTTAAAACAGGTCTCAGGGTTCTTCCGGCTCAAAAATGAGTCGTGATCCAAAACAGTAACCCTCGGAGAAGCAAGAATGTCTAAAGATGGGAGCTCCACTTCAGAGTCCTGAATGCCAAAGCGAGGATTCAAAACTGCATTCAAGGAAGAGCGGCCTATGACCTCACTACGCCGCCGGCTGAGCCTGCTCGCAGGTTAGCAGGGCGCAGAGACACTGGCCTGCACTTACCTTCTCACCAGTGTTCATTCTCTTGCTAGAAGAAAAATCTTTCAGAGACCGGGTCACTTCCCTGCAAGACAGAAGGAGGAGCTCAGCCGCCCAGCGACACCAAGGGCCCTCCCTGGGGGCTGGGGCCTCGCACGACACTTCCTTTGCAGGGGGAGTGGCAGTGATGACACCTTTAAAGCAATTTTCCAGGTGAGCACAGCCATCGTTTTCTGACGCATGGCTCAGCTGGTGGTCTCCAGAATGGGGGGCCACACTGATGGACCCCGTGGGCAAAGAGAGCATGAAGATTTCGTGTTGTGTTGATTTTATCCTGTTCTTGTCTAACGTATGTTTGAACATGTGCAGCTCATGTTTGAAAAGTAAATATGTATTTGTAAAAATCCATATGTCAGTACAGCTGGGCAGATGTTTGATTCATAAACAGATGTAATTCCTGCAAGTGTGGGCTGAGGTAGTTTAAGGTTACGTGTGGTTAACACAGTCCAGAGACCAGGCCTCTAAATGGCACCACGACATCAGGATGGTACTGCTTTCTTGCCAAGGCTTCCTTGAGGACCTGGTCACACAGGGTAGCAGAACATGTCTGAATGGGCAGAATTAGCTGCCAGCTGCGGTCTGAGGTCTTAGGATCAGGTTTAATGCTGGAGACGAGGTAAGGTGCAGTTCGTGAAGCAGACATCAGCTCTTGGCTCAGATCCTATAGGTGAGTCAACCGGGCAGGCTGCGGACAGCTACATAAAGCCGTCCAGCTGTACACAGCACAGCTTGGATCTTTTAATAGATGAACTATTTGATTACTATGACTACAGAATCCTCTGGCTGTTGATTTTAAATTTATATGCAGATGTCTGCAGCAGCCAGGGCTGGGCCAGGCCAAAGGTTGAAACCCAGTCTAGGTTTCCGACGTGGGTGGCAGGCAGTCAACGCTTTCAGCCATCAGCGCTGCCTCCCAGGGCAGGCAGGAGCAGGAAGCTGGGGCAGCAGCTGCAGCAGGGCCATCCTAACTGGCATCTCCACGGCCAGGCGATGAATGGGCCTTAAGTGTTTCACGTTTATACAGCTTTTATTCAGAGAGCTGTGAATTCTTTCTGAGAACCCAACAGGCAATCCTCCTACCGAATGGACTTTCTGTGAACATGGGGTAGTTCAATTAATAGAGAACTTTGCTGATACTGGCCACCATCCTGGAGACTCTACCAAGGACACAGCCTCCCCACGGGCGGTTTCCCTGCCGTGGCCCACGTCCCCGCAGGGGGAGGGAGCAGGCTGAGGGGTCTTACTGGGACACTTCGGCGATGTGCTTGTGGCGCAGTGCAATCCACAGGTCGTCATCCTCATCCAGCAGCACCTCCTTCACCCGCGCCTCTCCGATGCCACTCGTCTCATACCTGGGGAGGGGACAGACTCAAGTGGAGTGCACTGTCTCCACCGGCTTTACCAATCTGTTACTCCCAAGCCTTGGCTGCCAGAGGCTCAGCCCTCAGGCCCCCCTAGGTAGGTCCGGCTCTGGTTCCTTGGGCTGGAGACACTCAGGGCCTTACTCCACCTACTGGAGATTCTGTTTCAAGACCTGGAGGGCTGGTGGACAGGAGCTCTCTCTGCCTGAGTCCCCAAGGATGAGGCATGGAGTTAAAGGAAAGAGTCAAAGTTTTATGAGAGGACTTGGAGACACTGCTCCCCCTCCCTCCGCAGCCTGTGCAGACTGAACAGCCTGAGGTAGGGGCACACGGCTGACCCTCAGCGTATCCTCATAGATGAGGTCAGGAATGGCTGGAGGGAGCGAGATTACAGGGAGCTCTGAGTGAGAAGAGTGGACATTTGCTCATATTTTTAGAACCTTTATTTTGAAGTCACTGTATCATTACGATTAATGTTATAAAAGAAAATGACATGAAGGGGGCATGTTGTAGCACAGAGGGCTAAGCTGCTCCTTGCAACACTGACATATCAAAACAAGTTCAAGTCCCAGCTATTCTGCTTCCCACTCAGCTCCCTGCTAATACACCTGGGTAGACAGGAGAGGCTGGCTCCTGCACTTGGGCCCTTGCTACCAATGTGGGAGACCAGGATGGAGTTCCAGGCTCCTGATTTCTGCCCGGCCTAGAGCTGATGGCTGTGGCTTTTTGGGGAGTGAATCAGCAGAAAGAGCATCTCTCTGTCTTCTGAAAAAAGTAACTATTTTCTTCTTCTTTTTTCTATTTTATTTTTAATTTTATGGCACAATTGCATAGGCATAAGTAACTATTTTCTAAAAAAATGGCATAAAAGTGATATAGACTGTTTTCATATAAAAAATAATCAGTTTTTACAAACTGAGTTTCTCAGAACTGCTAAAAAATGTGCTTGTTTTTAATTGCATTTACTTACAACGAGAGAGAGTGAGAGAGGGAGACCTCCCATCTGCTGGTTCATTCCCCAGATGTTTCCAACAAGCGGGGTTGGGCCAGGATCAAAGCCAGAAACTGCTAATTCAAACTGGGTCTCCCATGTGTCTGTCAGATACCCCGCACCCCGACTGCCTCCTAGGGTCCACAATCAGCAGCAAGCTGGGGCTAGGAATTACATCAGAAATTCAGATGTGGGATGCAGATGTCTTTAACCACTAGGTCAAATTCCTGCTCCTAGAAAAATGTTTCCTTGACGAAACAAAACGGCTCCACTACGCAGGACGTGCAGAAGGAGACTCTTGTTCGTAAATTTTATAACCATCCTATTTCAGGATCTATAATGAATCAGTTTCAACAGTTTATTATACATGTGTAGAAATATCACACTGTACCTTAATACATTTCCAAGTATTATATAGTAATCAAAAAGCTTGAAAAATGTTTCAGAGAAAATGGTGTTTAACAAGGCTTCATTTCTGAATAGGCAAACATACACAGCAGGCTACCGTGGCTTCAGGTGTCCTAAGAACTACAGATTTAAAGGTCCTGCTTGGAAATTTGGAAACATTCCTGCCATCCGAGTTTGGAAGCAAAGTTTATAGACCGGGGCCGGTGAGTGGCACAGTAGGGAAAGCTGCCCCTGCAACTCCAGCATCCTGTACTGTCAGTTCAACTCATTTGGTCCCAGGGGTTAGGTCTCAGCCCCCCATGGGTGAGACCCAGATGGAATTCCTGGCTTCCATCTGGCTCTATCCTGGCTGTTGTAGTCACTCAAGGAGTGAAACAGCAGGGACACCTCTTTTTCTCTTCCTGTGTCTCAGAGATTTTGACTTAAAACAAAATAAATAAATCTCAAAAACAATGACAGGCTTATTCATAAAACTATCAACACATCTGGTTTTTTCCCCAGGGATATGAATGTGGATTGGAAGTAGAGCAGCGAGGACTTGAACCAGCGCCCCATGGGAGTTAGTCTGCAGCGTGGTGGCCCCTCTGAGATCTGTAGAGTCGTACTCACTTGTATACATCATTCTCAATAGGCAGCAGATCATAACTCATTGCCTGGAAAGTGAGTTCATGGAGCACGGGGGAGCTGGGATCAAAGCCGCGGTCCAGGATCAGGAGCTGAGAGCGCGCCTTGTCTGGACCCTGCAAGGGGGAGAGGGGAGGTGCTTCACCAGCTGCCCAGCGACAGCGATGCTGCTTCTCAAAGCAGCAAAGCCCCTCGTGCCCACGGAAGGGGCAGCACGAGGAGACCCCTGAGCGTGAGTCTGCTCACACAGCACTGGGTGGTGCCACTGATGAACCCTGTGGGAGCCCTGGGGAGCAGATCTGATGCTGTGGCTGGGGTCTGCAGTGAGCTCATGGAGGACAGCTCCAGCCACAGGCAGTCATGGGCAGCCACGGGCAGAGGGGGAAGCAGCCCCCTGGGGGCAGGCCTGCCATGAGGGACGTCCCTATGAAGTCTTGGGCAGTGATGGACTATAGCAGTGGTTGCATGGATCTGCGCTCAACACAGCTGTCCCAGACTACTGACAGAGCACACGGAAATGCTAAGGACATCGGAATGAGGCCTGCATGATGCTTCAATGTCAATTCTCTGGATTTGGCACTGTTGCACAGAAGATCTCCCAGGATACACATAGGGAACCGGCCAAGAGTTGCCAAATAGCTGCATCCCAAGGTACATGGACCCCACCTGGATCCCACCCGAACCTCCTGCATTGCATCAGAAGCTGTCACGAAGGGACGTGGCACTCAGCTTGCTATGCTTGGGACGGGCATACACACAGGGACATTGGGCCTGGACTCACCTCCCCCATGGTTGGGTCATCTGCTTTGTAGGCATCCAGCTTGTCCTGGATTAGCTGAGCCAGCAAGGCATTGTCCTTGTACTCCCTGACAAAGGAGGAGCGACACACAGTGAACAGCCGCAGAGCCTGAGGGCAGGTACCCACTGCTGCCTGGGAGGATGCGGGACACGTGAGGAAGGTGGCAGGGCAGAGGAGACGTGGGTGGCATCCACAGAACTTTTTTAAAACAACAAAAATATATTCATAGACCACATGTGTGATGAGAAAGGACAAAAACACTTAGCTAAGTGCCTGAAGCAGAATGACTTTCTTGTCCTCCTTTTTAAAGCTACTTAAACAGAAACAGAAGTAGTCCTGCCTAGCAGGTACAAACAGCCACAGTTCTAGAAGACTGACCACGCGTCCTTTTCCTGGGATCAGTCAGTCAAAGCCTGGTCTGTGTCATTCTCATTCCCTTCCATTCTCTTGGAACTGCTGTAGGCAGGACAGAGATGAGAACCTCTGACCCCTGCACCCTTCTCCCACCCCCACTGAGTCCGACAGCACCCCTACACTGTGCCTGGCTGGGCGGGCAGTATGGGCAGCGGCTACCACCTGACTCGCCAACCCCAGTGCCATGGCAGCTCTGCTCCTGGGATGGGCTTCGGCCACCCTGCTGAAGACATACCTGGGCTTCATCTCTTAACTCCCACCCAGCTTTGGCCAGTGGCACAGGCATACCTCACTTCACCTCGTTCCCTGTGCTGCACCCCACAGATGCTGCGTGCGTTCCAAGCTGAAGGTCACAGACTGAACCCGTGACACGTCTCTGCCCCACACTGGCTGTTTTTTGGTTAGGAAAGGTGATAGTTTTGTGTGTGTGCTTCGAATCCAGGGCTGTTGCAGGCTACACAGGCTGTAATATAACTTTAAGGCTTCATTGTGTTATTCCTTGCGCAGGGGCCATGCTAATATTCTCTGTATCGTTCCAATTTTAGTATATGTGCTGCCGAAGCAAGCACTTTTAAGCTTCATTGTGACCACTGTGGTGGCCGGAGACAACCTCTAAAGGGAGAGGGGCCAGGCTGCAGGGCAGCCATGAGGAGGTGATTTCTGAAGGCCCCACATTCCAGCAAAGGGACAGTAACGACAGTGGCTAACACAGAGCTCCCTTCCTGCTCGCCCCTAATCCTCCCTGACAATCCTATCCTGCTGCACCTACTTAGCCCCCCTCCCCTTTCCTGCCTCAGCCCACACTGCCACCTTCTGTTCCCACAGGCCTGCTCCACCCCCTCATCACAGGGAGGATCCCAAACCTGACCCCTGAGGTCTCCCGAAGTAGTCCTGTCCTCCCCCACAGCCCCACAAATACACTGTGTTACAAGATGGATCCTTCCAGCTTGCCCTTGGCTCACTCACTCCAGCTGCAGGAGCTGAGTGCCCACACAAATGCCCTCCTGTTCTCCTCGCAGGCCTGCTGGAACACTAACATGTCCTTCAAGACCCAAATGGAAACCTCTTCCCAAGAGCTACCCTTGTCCCTGCCCCAGGACCTGCCCCTGCCCAGGGCCTCCCCCTGCCTCTGCATGCCCTGGTGTGTGGCTCGGCCGCTCTCATGGCCTGTGTTGGAGCTATAGGTACTATGTACACACATTTGCTGCCATCCACAGCTGGCCCCTCCCGTCTCCAGCTCAGGAAAGCCTGCCCAGGCAGGGCTGTGTCTTCAGCCCTAAGTACTCTGGCACTTAGCAAGTCAGTGACAAGCAGGTGACTAAAGTCTGAGGAAAGTACCCTGAAGCTCGAGTTCTAGAAAGACAGTGACACCTGCAGGAGAGCTGGGCGGCAGTTCCACAGGACACCCCAGCTTGGCTATCTGCTATGCTCTTGCCTGCACATACTTCAGTCTGCAATCACCATATGTATATGTGTTGCCGAAGTGAGCACTCACAGCCACACTATGTAAAAAATAACAAAACTCCTGCAAGACCCTCCCTCTGCACTCTCTTGAGGCTGCTGGGGTTCCCCGGGGCCACAGGCAGCGCTGGGGATGGCTCCTGCCCGGGGGACACGCCAAGGCCAGCTGAGGCAGATGGGCACGCTGTCTTACCCCCGATACCGCACGGCTGGGTACTCCTTCAGGGTGGCACACAGAGTGGCGATCTGCTCGGCCAGGCGCTCCAGGATGGGATTTTTCATCTGAGCCTTGTGGGGACTGTAGAAGCTCTGGAAAGAGTCCGCAGAGTCCAAGGAATACACCTGAGGAGGACAACAAACCACACGCATGGTGTGCGCCTGCACGTGGGAGACACAGGCGCAGCTCCTGGCTCCTGGACAGAGCCCGCTCCAGTTCTGACCGCGGGGGCCATTCGGGCAGTGAACTAGTGGACTGAACATCTCTCCGTCTCTTCCACTCTAACTCTTTCACACAAATAATTTGTTTAAGAGTGGCTTGCACGCTACTGAGAAGTCGGTGTAGGTGAGAGAAAGCCGGAGCAGGGGAAGAAAATGCCGCTGGACCGGAAGGGCAGGCCCTGGGGCTGAGGAAGGAGGGGATGCCAAGGGCTCGGAGATGGCAGGCAGTCACCCCCAAGAGGGCACTTCTACTGAGGGGGCTGCATGAGTCCAGGGTGTCTATAAAAACATGCCAAGGCCAGGAGGCCAGGAGGATAGTCTAAGACCCCAGGGGCCATTACAAGTTCAGTTTGTAATGAGTAAGGGATCAACTAGAAATTGTGCCATGACTGCAGGCAGATGGAGATTTTTAATAATATATTTTAAGGTTTATTGATTTATTTGAAAGGTAGCTTTATAGAGAAATAGGGAGAGATCTTCCAACCTCTAGTTCACTCCCCAAATGGCTGAGGTGGTCAGAGCTGGCTAGTTCCAAATCAGGAGCCGGGAGCTTCTTCCGGGTCTGTCACTGCGGAGGAGCCCAAGTACTTGGTCCTTCCTCCACGGCTTTCCCAGGTACTCATCTTGGATTGGAAGTGGAGCAGCCAGGATTCAGAGGTGGCAGCTTTAGTCGCTATACCACAGTGTGGGCCCCAGGAAGGAACTTTGTTTTTTTAACCATTCTTTTTTTTTTAAGATTTTATTTTTATTGCAAAGTCAGATATACAAAGAGGAGGAGAGACACAGAGGAAGATTTTCTGTCCGTTGGTTCACTCCCCAAGTGACTGCAATGTCCGAAGCTGCACTGATTGAAGTCAGGAGCCTGGAGCCTCTTCCAGGTCTTCTAGATGGGTCAGGGTCCCAAGGCTTTGGGCCGTCCTTTACTGCTTTCCCAGGCCACAAGCAGCAAGCGATGGGAAGTGGAGCCATCGGGATTAGAACGGTGCCCATATGGGATCCCAGTGCATTCAAGGTGAGGACTTTAGCCACCAGGCTAGGCTACTGCGCCGGGCCCATGAAGGAACTTTCATAGCCCAAATCATCTCCTATATGTGCTAACTACTTTTTTTTTTTTTCAAATTAAGATTTTTTTTTAGATTTATTTATTTATTGGAAAGTCAGATATACAGAGAGGAGGAGAGACAGAGAGGAAGATCTTCCGTCCGATGATTCACTCCCCAAGTGACCACAGCAGCCAATGTTATGCCGATCTGAAACCAGGATCCAGGAACTTCTTCCGGGTCTCCCACATGGGTGCAGGGTCCCAAAGCTTTGGGCCGTCCTTGACTGCTTTCCCAGGCCACAAGCAGGGAGCTGGATGGGAAGTGGAGCTGCCAGGATTAGAACTGCGCTCATATGGGATCCCGGCGCGTTCAAGGGGAGGACTTTAGCCACTAGGCCACAGCGCAGGGCCCAATATGTGCTAACTACTTTTCTCTTAAAGATTCCCAATATATGGGCCTGGCGGGATGACTTGGTGGCCGAATCCTTGCCTTGCATCCGCCAGAATCCCATGAGGGTGCCAGTTTGTGACTTGGCAGCTCCACTTCCCATCCTGCTCCCTGATTGTGGCCTGGGAAAGCAGTTGAGGACGGCCCAAAGCCTTGCGACCTTGCACTAGCATGGGAGACCCAGAGGAGGCTCCTGGTTCCTGGCTTCAGATCGGCTTAGCTCCAGCCATTGCGGACACTTGGGGAGTGAATTATAGAACGGAAGAGCTTCCTCTCTGTCTCTCTTCCTCTCTGTGTATCTACCTTTCCAATAAAAATAAATAAATCTTAAAAAAAATTAATAAAAGATTCTCAAAATATAAAATTCCCTCTTAAACTACTCAGTCTACCAGCATTCTCTCCAAGTCCTCTCATGTATCAATTATGTTGGTTTTCTAACAAACCTATTTTTAAAAATGTATTAGTTTCTTAACATTTCAAAAATGTACTGAACACACCAGGCAGTCCAGGTGGTGATGGGACTGACACCTTTCCTCAAGCAGGAGAAGGGCTTCCAGCTGCTGAGAGGAGAGACAGCGGTCACTGCCAGCCCCTCCTAATCAGAATAAGTTGATGCCAGGTTCCACAGTCCACATGAGGCCTGTATGCCCCAGGCATCTCTGATCTCCACAGAATGCATGAAAACACGCTGGGATAGAATCCGTCCTTTCTGTTACAATCCGCCTTGCCTTTGCTGCTCAAACTACTTCCCTCCTCCCCAAGGGCATAGGGCAGCTTGCTGCTGTGGCCCCCTAGCACCCGAGGGGTTAACAGCTAATGACAGGGCCACCATCTGTTCCTGGCACGTGATGGGCTGAGGCTGTCTCAGAACAACAGCCTCCTTTGCAGCAGATGGGTCGCCCTGCCCTCCCTCTCCTCCCTGCCCTTCTTGAATGGGCACCTTCCTGGTTATTCAGGAGGGCAGCCACAGGGGTGGACGCTGGCAGGGTTGGGATGCGCCAAGGAAGGCACAGACTGAGAGAGTCAGAGAGAGCCAGAGAGGAAAACAAGAGTAGTGGTACACCCCTACAGAAAGAATCCCACTTCCAGGAAATCAGCGTTCACTCACCGGATGGACACTCTCCACCCACCCCACCCCCGGGATTCGGGAGAGGGTCACCAGGAGCCAGACGTCCCTCAGGCTCCCTGCTCAGCCTCACCTGGGACTCGTACGGGAGAAATGCAATGTTGATTTCCGTCAGAGTTTTGATGACTTTGGCTGCTCGGGACTTCACCAGCTCATTAAAAAGGGCATCTGGACAGGCTGCAGCAACAACAAGACCGGGTCTGCCGCCCTGCCCAGCAGCTGCGCGGTCCAGCAAATTCTTGGTTTTCTCCATGTTTTTAAAAGACAGACAGTTCAGCACACACTAAAATACCCAATACCTTGAGGCAAAACCACCTGAAGGCCCTCAACAGATCAGAGGGGACAGAAGGAGATACTGAGAGCTAAAACAAACCCATCTTCAGATCCCAAAGAAAGCACAAAATAATTAAGAAGGGCAAGCCTTTCCCATAAACGCCTTGAGGGCTGCTGAGTTCTTGCTATCTCTGTCACTTGGTTATCCCACAAGCTCTACACAGCTCTGCCTCTCCACCAGGATCAGCACACAAAACCCCACCAAATAACTGACATCCTAGGGCAGTGGTCTTGGGTTTGAAGATCCAATCCAGGGGGTAGGAGTAATGTGGCAGCTGAACAACTGATGGGCACAGACCACGGTTCATCGTAACATCCGGAAGTCTGTGTGATGGGACCCCATGGTCAGTATCAGGAAAATTCTTCCTGGCATTCAGCTCTCTGGTCTCAAGGAGAGACCCCGTTGTGCCATTTCTCACTGGGGAAGAACTGCATGTCTGTGAGGTTTATAGTTGACTACGCTGGCTGTTTATCTCTTATACCATTTTTCTTCTCAAGAACAAGTAAAGGCATGGCGACAATCTGCTTCTCTTCCTATTGACCCGACTTGATTCAGGGTTGGCCAAGTTGTGCAGAAATGCCCATAGCCGGGCACCCCACGGCAGTACTTACAGTCGGTGAAGAACACGTGTGCGGCCCGGTACTTAGCAGTCGGTGGGTCCTTAAAGTCACTGATGAGAGAGTGGACGGACTGTGGACAGGGAAAAGAGGGGAGCTGAGTCCAGGTCCCGTATCTGACACTGAGCCAACCGCAAGCTGCCTTCGTGTCACTTGCACAAAAGAGACAGGGATGTCTAATGTGTAAGGCGCACACACGTGTTCCACTGCAACCGAGTCCTGAGGGCTTAACACAGGGACTATTTCTGAGATCAGCTGAATAACAGCCCTCTTGGCCTGGTCCACAGGGACACCTGAGACCCAGAGAAGCGCAAATGGGTCACAAAGCCTCCAGCAGACACGGGCTGTGTCCTAGCAATGGACTTACACCTGCAGAAACTCACGTGAGCCAGTTTTCAGGAGTGAAAAGTAAGAACCAGAAGGAATTTACACAGACCAAAATCTGTAAGACAAATATCACCCCCAAAGCAAGGAAGTGGACCTGTGTAGCTGCTGCCTTGAACCAACCCACAAGATGACGAGACAGAGCCAACTGAATGCTAACTGGATCTTGACAAAATGAACCTGAGCACCTAACACTCCCAAGAACAGAGGGGATATTCTAGTGTGATCAAGTGGATCTCCCTGCTGGAGAGGGAGTGTGGGGCAGCCAGAGCCATGCAGTAGCATGTCAGCAAGCTTCACGCACTCCCCGTGACTCACCGCACAAACACCCCCACCTGCGGGCTGCGCACATATACAAATATCACAGGTGTGCTTAACCCAGAAATGGCAGCCGCTGCGACCTGGCCACCTCGGCAGAGGGTTTACCTTCTCGGATGGAGTGATGAGGTACACGGCCTCCAGGCTCGGGAGTGGCTCTCTGCGTTTGTTGATGTCTTCCACAACTAGACGAGAGAACAGCCCTCTGTGAGTAAGGAAACACGACTGGCCATCGCAGAATTTGAAGCAATACGGACTGGCCACCTCCTTATCGGCATAAACGAAAATCTACACTCGGGGGAAAGCAGCATTCAGCCCTGACAGTTACCACCTTCCTCGGCAGCGCATTCCACAGCCTCGCTGTGACCCAGCTGTCAGAAGGCCCAAAACTCTGCCACATTTTGGCTTATGTTCTTGATTTGTTCTGAGAAAACAGGGAAAACACTGCCACTTCCACTGCCAAGAATGATTCTCTTGCCTCTCTAGCTTCTTCTCGTCTGTCCCGAAAAATCCCAGGTCCTTCAGAATTTCCACGCTGACATATTTGTTAAAATAGAACCATTTAGTCATTTTCCTTCTCACGGCAAATAATGACATACTCAACACACCCTCCATATCTCAACAGTTCCGAGATCATATTTTGCTAATGCATGGGCTTCTGCTGTGCCTGTTTCTTTGGGGGTTCCATCCACTATTTCAACTGGGAAAAGCAGCTTTTGGGAGAAGCTCACCCCACTGGTAGCACTCACTAACTCATGCAGGGGACAGAAGCCACTCTTCCTCTGTGGATGATTTCGGTAAATAAAAGCATCACTTTTGGGCCCAGCGGCGTGGCCTAGCAGCTAAAGTCCTCGCCTTGAATGCACCGGGATCCCATATGGGCGCCACTTCTAATCCCAGCAGCTCCACTTCCCATCCAGCTCCCTGCTTGTGGCCTGGGAAAGCAGTCGAGGACGGCCCAAAGCCTTGGGACCCTGCACCCGTGTGGGAGAGCTGGAAGAGGTTCCTGCTTCCTGGCTTTGGATTGGCTCAGCTCCAGCAGTTGGAGTCACTTTGGGAATGAACCATCGGAGGGAAGATCTTCCTCTCTGTCTCTCCTCTTCTCTGTATATCTGCCTTTCCAATAAAAATAAAATAAATCTTAAAAAAAAAAAAAAAAAGAAACCACCTTTGGCGCCTGGCTTAATGGCTCAGTGGCTAACTCCTTGCTTTTCATGTGCCGGGATCCTATATGGGTGCTGGTTCTAATCCCAGCTGCTCCACTTCCCATCCAGCTCCCTGCTTATGGCCTGGGAAAGCAGTCAAGGACGGCCCAAAGTCTTGGGACCCTGCACATATATGGGAGACCTGGAAGAAGCTCCAGGCTCTTGGCTTTGGACTGGATCAGCTCCAACTGTTGGAATCATTTGGGGAGTGAACCAGCAGATGGAAGATCTCTCTGCCTCTCCTTCTCTCTGTAAATCTGCCTTTCCAATAAAAAGAAACAAATCTTTAAAAAGCCAAAAAACAAAAAGCACAAAACCCACCTTTTTGGGGATCAGGGTAGACAAGAGTCTGTGTAGCTGGGAAGCTGAGCCCTACCACCACAGTCAGTGAGTCACAGAATATGTGAAATGGGTGAATCTAGACGTACTACTGTAAGCACTTACCCAGAAAACACGAAGAAGAGCCAGAACACTGAGCAAGGTGGATGCGCCGGGCGGGGTCTCCTGGGGGAGTGGGGAGGAGGCTACTCCTCCATCACAAGCCTGCCAGATTCATCTGGCTTCGCCCCATCCCACCACATCCCCTTTAATTTTTGTGCATAGTTTTGCTTTGGTAGAAAAAAAAAATCCTTAAAAACTCAATCATGAAAATAAGGCTGCAAGTTACAATCAGCAAGTTACAAACCTGGTCTTAAAACCACTCAAACCACTGATGTGAAAGTCACAACAGAGATGATGTATTCCCAATGAATGGGAAATCCTACAAGATCTTCACAACTTAATGGCATTTTAGTACCCGCCAAAATAGGAAAGACATACATTTTAGAGTAAAGAGCAGACCTTAAATTCATACAGCTTAACCCTCCTTTTATTTCCTCTGGTAAACTGCGTTGTGGTCATCATTTTGACAGAAACTAGGCAACAGTCTGTGAGCTGGGAGATGCAATGGAGAGATGCCACCAGCTCTTTCAGTATTGCTTTTCAATCAGTACGGTTTCAGAGATGAAAATGCTGGCAGTCTCCACAAATGAGCCCCACCTTGAGGCTAGAGTTGCCCAGGGATATGAGCAAGAGCCTTGGGGGCTGGAAGGCATGGGCCTGCTCACATGTCACCCTGCCCATCATCGGCCTTTAAAAAACAACAACAACAACAAAAAACCCCTATTTATTATTAAATTATAACAGACATTCCAAAGAGCAAATAAAAGATGAATGTACAAGTAACTACGCTGCACATGCATGTGTGTCAGCATCAGACGTTCCAGTTAGGGAACAGGACCCGTCAGGACAGCAATACCAACACCACCCCAGGCACCTTCCCTCTGAGGACAGCCACCACCCCACCCTGAGTGGGGAGCATCACTCTGCAGGGACCCCACCTGTGTCTGCACTCCAAAACAGTCTGCTGGCTGCTTCCTGGCTTTGGGCTTGCCAAGGCAGAGCAAGCCCCAAGCACCCTGGATCATTCCGCTCCTTGCTCCACGCTGTGTTCATCAGGTTTGCATTGCTGTGTGGGCTGGAGTGCTCCTGACTTGACTGCCTTTTGGTACTCCCACTGTAACTATGTCCCAACCGGCTTCATGAGTCTACTCTTGACCTTGGGGTTTCAGTCACTTTAAGGACTCCTAGGAAGCCTGCTCTGGGGGCACTCCTGCATACGTGCCTCCCTGCTCTCGCAGGCATGTACCTCAGTGCAGAGCTGCCAGCTCACAGGACACGTACGCCTTCAATTGAACCAGATGCTGCCCAGTGCCCTCCAGAGCAGCTATGCCACCTGACGCTCGGTCACGTAGGCACCCTCTTTGTCTACACCCTTGTCAGCGCTTGCCGTTCCCTGAGTTTACATGTTCTAATCGGGCGAGTCTCTGTCGCTGGTTGGAATGGCACTTTCCTGACCACTAATGAGCGGGGCGTGTGTTCCTGTGTTTATTGACTAAGCAGACGGCCTCCTCTGTCCTTATCTGCTGGGTGGCCTGCCTGGTGCTTTGAGCATCCAGGTCTCTCAGGAGCTTACCAACCCACAGGTTGTCGGAAGACACTCTAAGAATGAGAAGGAAAGGGGCAGGGTGGGCTGCAGAGCGGGGATGTGTGCGTGGTGCCAACCCAGAAAGCGCTGGACTCACTGGTTATGCCCTCCGTCATGATATCCGTCATCTTGCAGCAGGAGGACAGCATCCGCATGCTCAGCTGATCCACTACCAGCACCTGGAAGGAAGGGGGCACTCAGGGACGCAGGGCCCCCACCGGGAGCCGTTCATCAGTGAGTGCAGAATGCTGGAGGAAAGGTGCTTCCTGGGGCTGAGAAGTCAGCCGCGAGCCATCTCTACTTTCACCTCCGCTCCTAAGCGCAAACCTTCAGTATTTGGAGACTCTTCGCATTCATTTTTATGAACTTCCAAGGAATAAAAGAGGGACCATAAAAAAACGCAAAAAAAAAAAAAAAAAGGAAAAGAATTACCCAAGTCTTTGACACCCACAGATAACCGCATGGGTGCTTTTTCAGAGCATGAACTTGTGGTTTAGCGAGCGTGAACACAGTGCCCTCACTGGCAAACACAGCTGCTTCCAGGATATGCACAGCTGCTTCCAGGATACGCACAGCTGCTTCCAGGATACGCACAGCTGCTTCCAGGATACGCACCTTCCCAGCACACATGTCCTCCGGGTGCATCATGACCTTGGTTCACGCTGGAGCAACAAGAACCCTCCGGTATGGCAGTGCTAGCTGACCTCTCCTAGCTGCCCCAGCTCGCCGGAAGCAGGGAGATGGCAGGTCGGACGAGACCACTTTAATGAGATAAGCAGGGAGCCATAGCAGCTGGACACAATGGGCAGACAAGACAGCTCTCCACTGCAGTGCAATGGTCAGCTGGTTTTCATTCGGAATGACACCTCCCGTGACACTAGCCTACCATTTATATGCCTACAAATCTATCACTGTGGGGGAAGAGTGTCAGAGCAAGGCAGGCACTGAGTTCTAGGCAGAGAGGCAGGTGTTTGGCGTGGCAGTCCTGACACCCCCGTTCCCTGGGGCAATTCCTTCCTGAGTCCAGCTCCCTACTAGACCAGACTCTGACAGGCGCAGGCAATGACTCCAACAGCGGTCCCCTGCCACTTGTACAGCAGACCTAGAATGAATTCCAAGGTCCTGGCTTTGGCCCTGCCCAGCCCCGCCAGTGTAGGTGTCTGGGGCAGCAAACCGCCAAGTAGGAGTTTTCTAACTTTCTCTGTGCCTCTTGATCCCCCAAATAAAATAATAAGAAAAAAGAAAAAGGGAACTGGCATTGTAGGTTAGTGGGTTAAGCTGCAGTTTGCAATATTATCATCCTTTACTGGAGTGCTGGTTCAAGTTCCAGCTACTTCACTTTGATTGAGCTTCCTGCTAATCCATATGGGAAAGCAGCAGAAGATGATGGCTCAAGCACTTGGGCACCTGCCACCAATGGGGCAGATCAGAGTGCAGTTCCTGCGTCCTTGTCCAGACCTGGGTGTTGCAGTCATTTGATGGGGATAACGATGTTGGCCACAACAGGAGCCCACACAGCCAGGGCTGAGGCTTTAAAATCCTCCTGTGTGCATTAAAGACGCGTGTGCTTCTGACTGGAGGGAAATCAGAGAGCAAGTGTGGTGGGAACAAACACTTCAGCAGCACATGAGGTGGTACAGGCAGAACTGCACACCCTCCTGGCAGGTGTAGTGTGCAGCCTGGACAAGCCTGAAAAGTCTGACTTGCTGCACACAGGCAGTGCTTTCCTGGGCCATCCTCTATGGAATCTGCCTCACTCACACATTAATACACAAGCTAACTTGCTTACAAATTTATCTTTTCTAGTGCTGGGCAGATGAAAGTAGACCAGATGACAGATGAGGGCTTGTGTGAGCCATAGCACAGCATTTAATGATTATAAAAGAGTGTCTCTTTGTCTTCTCTCATATAGAGTGGATTTCTCCTGCTTTATTGAATGGGCATCAGGTCAAATTTTGGTTGAAGGAAAGAACCACACTTGCCTGGCTAGTGATCTTTAAGATAAGCTTCGTGGCCAACAGAATTTGAAACCAAGGTCATTTACATGAGCGGCAGAACAGAGCAGCTTTGTGAAGTCCAGGAGCCTGTGCACGCTGGACACAGCCAAGCCCTCATTCCCACCCCTTTGCCAGCTCTATCCATTTGTATTTCCCAGAAGAACGTCAGGGCCTTGAGGGGCAATGATTACTGATAACGATGGGCGACACTCACCTTCCACTCCCCCTTCTTCTTGACCTTCTTGATAACATCATGCATAATCTCTAAAAAGGAGAAGGAAGGAAGGAAGGAGGGTGGGAAGGAAGATAGGAAGAGGGGAAGGGAAGGGAAGAACAAAGGAAAGCAAGGTTAGTTCAATGTAATTTCAACCTCCACACCTGAATATTACACCAAGTCACTTTCCCTACACTTTCTGCCAACTCGTCTGCTGACTGAGCCATAGTCATTTCACCCTAAAGAGTTCTCCTTCTGTTGCTTTTATTCAGTGAATCTCAAGTATTTTGGTCTCAGGACTTCATACTTTGAAGAATTAAGACCCAGAAGAGTGTGCATTCATGTGGGTAACTACCTATTAAACATTCTCCATATTACAAACTAAACTGAGAAGTTTTAAAAATTTATCAATTGGTATGGGTGCCAGGCTGGGATCGTCTCCATGCTCAGAGCCCTGATTCCAGCCACCTCACACACGCGGTGACCTGTCCCTGGGCCTGCCCGAACTCCAGAGGCTGCTCCCTTCATGATGAGAACACCGAAGGGGGAAGTCTGGAGAGCCGGGCAGGCCCAGACCCCACCTGCCGCCATCATTGCCTGGTGGATGGGATTGGGGAGGGGGCAAACTTGGGGGTCTGGGGATTAAAACTTCCAGCAGCCTGTTGGCTGCTGGTGGGCACCATGCTTGGAGCCCCAATTCTAACCACCGTGTATAAGCGGTGACCTGTCCCTGGGTGGCCAGTGCGCCATTTCGTGCCAGGCTCTGCCTGCTGGCCACTCGGCGGCCTGTTCTGGGGTTTTGGGGCTTTGAATTGCTGCTTAGGTGGCTCCATGTTAAGCCCACTATGCTTCCGAAATGTCAAGCAATCCTAAAGACTCCCAATGACAGAGAAACTTTTCCTTTGAAGGTAAGCAAGGGTAATAAGACCTGGTAGGTTTGAGGACAGGGACCAGAGGATCTTTATGGAAAAGTCTGATATACCAACTTCCTATCAATCCTGTGTAGAACTGAACAAAGCTTAGCACCGAATACCAGTCCATGCAAAAGCTAAGGCTCAAGGCTTGTCTAGTATGATCATATCCTATTACCAACATGATGATGAATCAGGAGACAGGTCTCATTTGGCAGGGCCATGACATTAACTGGCACACGAGAGAACCATATCCGGGGGGGCGGTAGATTCTGTGGGGAATGTGTGGGCTAAACCCCGTAGAAATACTAGCCTCACTGGTTAGTTCAAGAGTTGAGGTGGTGATGGACTAAGCTAGGGGTGACCAACAAGCCTGACATCACCCATGGGTAAAGGAACCAATAACAGTCAGGACTGGTCAAGGCAGCAGCATCCAAATGTACATCCTGAGTAGGGTGTGGGGTGGGCCAGACTGCAACATTCACCAGCTCATTCAAGTCAAGTCTGCCTGACACTGGCCTAAAACCCACTGGCATGTATGAGAACTGGGTCTGGGAGTGGGTCAAGTAGAGGAACTTGGGAAACTCCCTTGGCAGATCATAGCTCTCGCTGGTGAACACATGGTCCAGACCTGGGGGTCAGACAAGCTGGGCAAAGTAGCTCCAACAGCTGGCTAATGTGTGGGTTGGTAATGGAACAGGGTATGCTGGGCAGGGCCAAGCAAAATTAGAAATCAGGATGGAGCACAGGTCATGCCGAGCTAAGCTATTGCACCTATTGGTCTGCATGAGCCAGGGACGCTAAGCCACAGCATCTAGGGCAGGGGCCGGGACAGGTGAGAGGCTGTGCCAAGCTGAGTCAGAGCAACCACTGGCATGCGCGTGATCCATGGCTGGGAACAGGCCCAGTTGGGTTGCTAAGGGGACACCCTATCTGGGTTGAGATTCCCACTGAGGAGCACAGGGGCTAGAATGGGGGCTGTGTTCTGATCTGGATATAGCTGTGGTCTCCCTTGGCAAAAGTGTGGGCTGGGACTGGATGCACCAAGCCAGGCTAGACTCCTCTGGTGCTCTGGAGGACCAGGGTAGATGTGGGATGGACTAGGCTAGGTCTCAGCCCCTACTGAGCCATGTGTGAGCTATATGGGGGTATGGATGAGCTGTGGCCGGGCTGAAACATTCAACAGTAAGAACCAGATTGGGTTGAAGACCAGTCAGGAAAAGCCATTGTTCCTGCTAGGACAGGAGGTAAATTGAGTAGGGCTGGCTCATGGACCCACAGGTATATGCAAAATCTGGCACTGGGAGAGGTTGTGATGGAGGAGCCTGGGCAATTCCTCTGACAGGACACAGTCCCTGCAGGTAAGCACAAGAAGCATGATAGGAAACAGCCCAAAGCAGGCCATGGACAGTTTCCCACTGGCATACATTTGGCATGGGTCAGGGGCAGACCAGGTTGAACCCATTCACGTCACCACTGGCGAATCCGAGCACCAGAACAGAGTGTGGGTCGAGCCAGGTTCAGTCACGACAAAAACAAGCACACAACTGAACTTGAGAACTGTGGTTATGCAGCAAGGTGAAGGAATCCACTATGGGGGGAGGGGTATGGGAGGGGTGGGGGGAATCCCTAGTGCCTATAAAACTGTATCACATAATACAATGTTAATAACAATAAAAAAAAAAAAAACCAGCACACAATACAGAATGCCAAGGTGAGGTGACGTGTACCGGATGTGACCACAGCATCCAACCAGCACACGTGAGAACCAGGGAGCGAGGGGGGAGAGCCAGCAGGGGGAGTGTGGGGGGGACTCCCCTGCTGGACGCTACTCCCACTGGAGAGCGTGAGCTGGGATAGGGGCAGACCAGACTAGACAGGGCTACAAAACCTGTGTGCCTCATGTGGACTAGATTAGGGAAAAGCCAGGCTGGGCTGATTGACCCTACTGGTGCAAACTAAAATTAGAGTGGGTGAGGTTTTGTTGGGCTTAGCCACAGCATCAGCTGGCAGAAGTTGGCACTGGGGGCTAATTCTGTCAAGTTAAACTGCAGAACCACCTAGAGAATACATAATCTGGGAGTGAGAATGGCCTAGAAGGGAAATAGTAAGCACCTCCCTCTTAGGTTACCACTCTCACTGGAGGGCACGAAAACCAGGACAGGAGCTGGAGTGGTGAAACAGAAAGGCACCTAACAGTATGTGGTTGGGCTGGATAGTTGGGCTGGTTGGGTTGAACTAGGCTTCAATGCCTATTGACAATGTATGAGGGCTGAACGGCATGTGGGACAGACTAGACTAGTCTGATGCACATAATGGCAAGCATGGGAACCAGGGTAGGGAGCGGGCCTGGTAGGGGTTATTGTGGGTCACTTTGATTAGGCTGCAGCTCCCACTGGTTTATGTGAGGGCCGAGTAGGTGCTAGGCAGAACCAGGCTGGATTGCAACACCCATTGGTTCCACTGGAAGACAGCGCTGGAAACAGGACCGATCCAGTAATTGCAACCACCAGCTGATTGGGGCAATGGACTGTACCGGGCCCTGTACTTGCAAGTACATACAAGAATCTGTTCTGGGAACACCTCAGGCAAAGTTTCTTTGGGGATCTCCCCAATCGAACTGCCGGACTCAGAACCCTAACCATGAAAAGACAGAAGACAGAACAAGTCAGTCAACTACCTCAGCCATATGTTGGCAGTGAAAAACTGGGCAAACGGAGACTCTAAGATGGACTATGTCAATCAGTGGATTCTTCAACAACCTCATTGTGCTTGGAATGGTGAGATTCGCAGCAATTAATAACTGTTGAACTACCAAAACCACTTGAGCAAGACCCTCTGAGTACGCCCCACATCAGAGACCTGGGGTGGGTGGGAAACTGGGTGGGGCTTCTCCCTTAATCTCCCCCTTTACCCAAGATACATGAAAAAAAATGTGGAAATAATAGTCTTACCCACTTTCCTATAGCCCTTGAACCTTTTTGCCCTAATTAACTATGTAAAAATTGTAAAAAATAAAGAAAAAAAAGTCAATGAAGAGGCTTGGCAAAAAAAAAAAAAAGATCAATTCATTTAAAACGAATCCACTGTATATTAATATAAGTAGCAAATAAATATATGTTCAATAATAATAATAAACTATGGAAAACAGTGGCATTCCCCACACTCCCAAATTTGCAATATAATGCCTAGGTCTGCTGGGACTCTTGGCAGCTGCAGAAGGCCATGAAAGCATGGCCATGAACAAGGCAAGTAGCATCTTAGCATGAGATAGTTCTGACTTCATAAACCTTCAAAAGGGTCTTAAGTTTGAGAAGCACAGGTGTCAAGTGAGTAAGAGGCTGTGACCAGGTCTCAGGCCAGCCTCGCCCAGCCCCCAGCTGAGATGTGAAGAGTAGCTTATCTGGGGAAGATTCCCCTCCCTGAGTCAGCACCCTGGTCATTGGTCAACCACAGTATCTGCAATCCCAACAGCCCACAACCACATGTGGAAACAACCCACTTGCTACTTTGTAAACCATCAAAACACAATTCCTGAGTGACCAAACTGCCAAGAGTTGCTATCAGCAACCACTAGTTTTGTCATTTCCTGGGACATAGTGCTTCCTGACTCTGCATTTACCTGTCTTCAGGCTCTTGTGGGTCATAAGTGTTCTGGAAGCAGATGGTGTGTGCAGCCAGTGAAGAAACCACTTGGGAAATTCCTTTCCCATACCAGAGTGCAGGTTGGAGCCTGGTCTCTCCACTTCTGATACAGCTCCCTGCTCATGCATCCTGGGAGACAGAAGATGCTTCAATACGCCCACAGTGCAGCCTGGATGGAGTTTTGGGCTTTTCGTTTGGCTTGGCTTGGTGCAGCTGCAGCTGCTGAAAGCATTTGGGAAACAAACCAGTGGATGGAAACTTAATCTCTCTGCCTTTTAAGTAGATGAAAATGAATATTTTTAAAGGTAATTTGAGACTTTAAGAAAAACATTTTTTTAAATTGGAAAGACAGATATACAGAGAAGGAGAGACAGAAAGATCTTCCATCCACTGGTTCACTCCCCAAGTGGCCAAAATGGTCTCTTTTTCTGCCTTTCAAATAAATTTTTAAAATTTCAGAAAAGAATGCAAAGGGAAAATATGTATTCATGCCT